TCCTATTTGTTGTTTTTTTTTGTTTTTTTTCTTATCAGTGTCTAACCACAACAGACAAAATCAGATTGCCCCCCCTTGTAATGGGAATTCAGATACATCATCGCACAGCCTTCGCCTTATTGGAAACCTTAATCTGCTTTGTTTGTGCGTGAAACAGGAACTGATTCTATTAAAGAGATAAAATTGTTGCCATAGCCAACTGATGCATCAAAGACCAGCCAAATTGCAGCCCTTACTTGAGTGGGTTTCACTAAAGTCACTTATTTGTCCATTTCATCATGCTAATGGCAGAAGCCATCATCCCATTAAGTGCCACAGCTGAGCGAGGTTAAACAAATGCAGTTTGTCCGATGTCACACTGGCTCCAAGTCAGGTCTCACTACTCTTGCTCGTACATCACAACAAATCATCAGCTTGTCTATAGCTACTTTATATGTGCAACCCCTTTGAACTGTGTTGCATTAACCACCTCTGCATTCACAAGCACTTAAAGCATGAGCATCTCCTCTCAGTCGCCTCTTTCTCTCCTTTTATCAAAAAATCTTTCTGCATTCTTCCAAAAGTGAAATGCAACCCACTCTATAAATTAAGCTATTTTGCCAATGTACTGTCCCTGTTGAGGAGTTTTTAATGCTGTATCACCTGCTCAACATCTGTCTGGATATGATCAATACATAGCACACCTTATTAGCATTAGAAACAGCTAGACTAAAATCAGTATAAAGCATCCTCTGTAAAACACTACAGTAAATAGCGCTCACACCATTTTGGCACAACTGGGACAAAATAGGTTCCAGTTTAGTAAAATGGATGGAGTTCATTATCTCTAGATGTTTTCCAAGTTGTTACTTTAAACACTGACTTATATGCTGTGAGGCCTCACAAAATAATAACTCAATAATACCTAATAAAATCATATCTCCCGGACATTTCACATGCAGCTCACCATTTATCTTTGTCATCAGATCCTAGCCTTGTTTCTATTACTTGAACAAAAGTCTTTGTATATAACGAGTCCACATTCACTAAGCCCTGCAGTAACCACACAATCACTTGTGTCAACATAAGGGAAATCCATTTCATCGGGACATTCAGTCAGTGCTTCATTACCATACACGGGGGCAACATCTGTGTGTGCGTCCACACAGACTGCAAGAGTTCAGAGAATTTGCTGAGTGTGTAGCGCATAAAACATAGTCAATCAAAACATCATCACAGGTCACTCAAAAAGACTTTTGAATCAGATGGGTTCTTCACCACCAAAGCAAAAGGGGTGCATTAAGAGTTATCGCACAAAAAGTCCAAAAAGCTACAACAGAATACATTTTCCATTAATGCAGCTTATCTTAAGCTCTGCCAGAGCTTCAACGGATATAAGAATTATAGTGTCCTTGTAAAAATAAAAGCCACTAAATGCAAACACATTTTCCTCAGAAGAGTCTCTCTATCTTTAATAGTACCACTGTCAGAGCCTCCTGACATTGTCAACAAACTTTATTTTAATGTGTTGAATTTTAGTGTAACATACTTTAGAAAGCGTCCGTGAAATGAAATTATTGTAGAAGATGGAAAACATATTTTTTTCTTTTTTAAATGAAATGGTGAATTAGGAGATTGTACAGAAGTGACAGTGTTGAACATAATTTGGATATGGTCACCCTTTTATCAAATGAGCTCTGAATGACAAGGAACTAGTAAATACTATTGCATAAGGGCTTCAGCATTTAAATAGGTTAATATGTCAAAGCATTCAAGCTAAAAAGCCTAATCAGACAATAACCTATTAAAATGAGCTCAATTTAATTCAGTTGAAAAGAAAAAAGATCAGCTTAAAATTAGAAATCCCCCTAGCATACATAAAAAAAATTCCTCCAAGATGCATTTGCTTGACTTTGATTCTTGAATAGATAGTATCTGCAATCAATCTTAATGTTTCAATAGCCCTATTAAATTATCCTTTGGAAATCACAACACCTAAGCTATAAAATTCTACAGTTAAACAACCGTAAGAATGTATTGTTGTGTATTTTCATTTAGTATAGTGTGAAAGATTTGATTTTAGAGAATAAATAGTAACAGCAGAATTATTCTGAGTAACCTCCATCAGTCTGAAGTCGGCTGTGAGACCAAAATCCTCTTTTCAAAGACAATGCTTTTCTATTCTACAATAACATAAACATTGCTTAATAAGTCAATACTAATTTGGCTAGCATGAGTCTTTAAAACAGGTACATTAACGTTATAAGCACATAAATATTTTCTATGTCATAAACATATGATCAGTAAATTCTTTTACCTGTACAATTAGCTCAGGATTTATCATTTTGGCCTTGAATAACTTTTAAATATGCCTCTGGATTCACTAGCGCCGCACTCCTTTAAAAATTAGTTATTGTAAAATGCATTAAAATGGCCAGCTGAAAGCTCCTTCATCAACATGGCCCCTGAATCTTCACAGCATCGTGTGCTCACAATAACTGAATGATCTGCCTGGGGTTACAGGAATTGTATTCTCATTTAAACTACTCACAAACATCACTGCCTTTAATTTCAATAGCTCAGAGGCTATGCTGTATGTGAGCGATTTTTCTGTTAAGAAAAGTGGTGGCAAGGACATTTAAAATTTCTATCAAGTGCTGATATTCTCTATGGGATTTTGACAGAGATTCAGGCACAGTAACACTGCATTGGATTGTTTTATTTGTGCTATAACATGGCTACACGCTGTTTGCTAGATGGTATAAATGTATTTCCCCTCCCCTCTGTGGAGACTAGGACTGTAAACCTAAAGCATGAAATTATCAAATAGAGTGTCTGGTGTAAGAAAATTGTATCCCTTTCCAATAGGTGTGTTTCATATTCCTTTACTTGCTTGTCACATTATTTTACTCATTATCTGGACCATAACTACTAAGTTGCCATTACAAAGAATCTTACCACGTCAGGCCTGCAACCAAGCTGCTCATCAGTATTTTTGCAAAGGTGCACACTTTTAGAGGCTGATTGTCTACATGGTTTGTATTTGTTTGAGTCAGAAAAGGTTTGTAGCAATTTAAGGAAATAGAAACTGAAAATGAAAGAAGTGAACTGAGAAAACAATGAGAGAAGAGCAGGAGGAATAACTCAAAGAAGTCTTGTGTAAAGCAGTGAATACTTTACTCACAGCCATGCAGAGCACAAAGCCTGGTGTAGTGTAGAAACAGTAGGCAGCATGAGGCTGATTTCTGCTGCTCTCTCCATTCACCCTTTCTTCCCAACATGTACAGAGCTGGTCTCACATGACATTTCAGTACTTTTTCATAAACATTACACTGTGGCATAAAAGCTGAAGCATGATTGAGTATTTATGGATTTAAAACAAACTTTCTCCGTTTCTGAAAACAGCACATTTTACTCAGTCTAATTGCTGCTGGGGCAGATGTTTGAATCATGTGATGGATGTCTTGGAATTTCCTCTCATTACAACAAACAATTCCCCAAAAAACATCTGAGAAGTGAAAGTAGAAAAGGAGGAATTTATCCATCTAAAAAGCACCAGCAGTACAGTCATCGCAACTAAATCGTGGCAGAAATGTCAGCAACACTGACATGGATCCACAGTGCCCCCTAAAGGGCAAAAGAAACACAAGCCTCGTGTGCATGAATTCATGTCAGTACTCTGCCAGACATGATATCCATTTTGTTGAAGCTTTACCTGCTTTACAAGGTCAAAAACATTGAACCCTTCATTTTGAGAACTTTTTTTTACACATCTCTACATACACATACATGCACACACATAATCAAAGGGAGTCAATCTTAAATTCAGTAGGTAGGTCATCTACTTCTGCTTAATCGGAGAGTAGTGTTTCTGTTCTGAGCATCCTTAAAATGTTAAACAGATCAAGAATTGTGTTCACTAAAATAAATATTATTATCTCTTTTTTCAGTGTCCTTTTGTGCTCTGTAATCAACCTTTACAAATGTTACCATTTACAAAGATGCTCTCACAAGACAGAGATTGGATCTAGCACAAGTGCAACATAAGGTTAGGAGTTTGGAAGTGTTTTTTTCAGGAAATTGGAAGGAGGGATTAATAAAAACAAGAATGCAAAGGCTGAGTTTTCAGACCTTGAGGACAATGGATTAAGTCCTCTATCGACTAAAAGACAAGTGAGGGCATGACCTGAATGATGGGTCTTCATGAGCTCTGACAACCACCTCCAAGGACAGAGATTCAGTTTCACTGGCTTTGCTTTGTGTGTGTGTGTGTGTGTGTGTGTGTGTGTGTGTGTGTGTGTGTGAGACAGAGAGAGAGAATGTGTCTTAGACAGTGTTCAACAAAAGAGAAGCGGGCTAGGTCACATACGTAACTGGCAGGGAAGGTGTGAAGGTTTAGGCTCATTTTCCCAAACACTCAATATGGTCATAGACCATTAGCAGTCCAAGCCACTGCAGGCAATTTCTTTTTCAGTGCCAGACCATCAGTGACAGGCTGGATTTTGTCCATTACTGACACTTCAAAACAAAGTACTTCCTTTTTTCTCCTTTGTGTTATGCCACAGTCAAAAATGGTATTGATCTCGACTGAAATCAGAGGATGAAAAGGATGAAAAGCTGGTCACTGCATGACACGACAAAAAAAGGAGAAAAATAAAAAAAAATAGATAAAACTGGAAGAAGGTGAAGTTTCTAAACTGATTTGCTCACACTGACAAAGCGGAGGCAGGAAAGACCCAGTTTAAGTGCTCTACCTCTGTCTAAGGTGATATGATTACCTGTTCGCGCTAAAACTACTATAAACCCCTCACCAGTATAATTTCACTGCACATCAAAGCAAAGAGGAGCCCATTCTATTTTGCGGTATCACTCTATATGAAAGTGTTGAACATAGTTTATTACTTAACGTTGAACATGCACATTTCATGTAATGCCCCTTGACATCAGCGGCCTGGATGATCCCTGGATTATACCACATGCACTGAAACACCACACTCAAACAACAGATTGAGTTCTGAGTCTCATGTGAAGTTTGGCTACGAAAGAACACAGAGAGAGGGAGACACCAACGTGCCGCTGGAAGAATGGCTGCTTATTCAGAGGTTACAATGCAGGTTGTGAGCCTCTAAAGAAACAGCTGGACCCACAGAGCCAGACTCTCCAGGGACTGAGTGTAGCATGTTCGTGGTCTGACAGAAAATCTAATAAAGCTTCCACGCTGACAAGATCCTTTATCAAAGGAAAGCAAAGAAGAAGTCTAAGGTGCTGTTCTCACTGAAAGAAATGAAGGAGTCAACCTTGAAAAACAGTTTTTATCTGTAAAGGCCCAATTGCTGGTGTTTGTCAGTATGGGCTAATTGATGATAAAACAACCCATTCAGCAATGTAAAAAAGAAAAAAGACTTTAGTAATTATAAAGAATAAAAACAAGCCATGGACTTCCATTTGCCTCCACATATATTCAAATGACAATAGCTTTTACAACACATCACATTGTCCTATTATGCAGACATATTAGATCTGTGCCATGGTTTGGTGTCAGCAGCATAGCTATAAAAGACAGAGGACTGAATAATAAACCTGTGCACTTCCACTTGACCTTGCTATATGACCGCAGAGTAACATCATATCAAACTGAGTACAAACTAACAGAAGCATGCTCCTGTGCCAAGAATGATGTAAGACTGACCAAAAAGGTGAACATTGCTATAGTTGTGCCAAGTCATTCCGAGGAAAGCATTGTTTGGATTGACAGTGTGCGCTGGATCAGTGCTCTCATCAAACTCCACTTAATGCAATGTCAAATGAATTTCTTGAACTCATTTCAACCTCAACAGGTTCTTTATGGCATTCATAACAAGATCGCCTGAGAAAATAAAATTGGCTCCTGTAAAAATGATCGAATACTATTAATGGAAATGATTTACAACAGATAATGGATCAGGGGTCAACCACAGTCATTGTGCTAAGAGCAGTCTTCTCCACTTCACATGAATGTATTTCCAGCTTTATTTTATCTCTCAAGTGAGAGATATACGGGCAGCGCATGCAGCAAGATTAGCAAAAAACTGTCAATGAAGTCAGTTACTTTAATGATAATGTCTAAATAGCAGTTTATTTCTGGAAAAGAAAACTAAATTCATTTTTAAGAAACGATAAAGTATCATTGTTAGAATTCAAGGAAGCTACAAAGGGAACATAGCCTGTGCAGCTGCAGACCAGAGCTTGTGCATTCTTTACACCTGGCTTAATTGCACCGTCTGTGGCGACTGGACACTGCAGTCAAACTGCCTTTATCTTGACATGGCCATCCTACCCTCATCTTAGCACAGCAGTTAACATGTCGCCACAATCTCTCCTGTCCTGCTCTCCATCTCACCTACTTGACAGTTTGAGCACCTCCTGTGCAACCTCCAGCCAAACAGAATTAAGGAAGAATTAAAAGCTCAATGAGCCCAATAATTAAATTTTAACAGAGGACATAAAGCAAGCTGACATCCCCTTAAAGCTATAGAAACCATAAATGACTAAAACCATAACTGCAATGTCAATTTGGAGATTCTTTCTCTGCAAACCACATATTGCCATTTTCATGCTGAAAACCTATTCCAGAAATGTGTGGTCAGTATATAAATCACAAGGTAACATTCAGAAGTCACTGAATTGCAGTTAGTATGTTCAGTGAATGTTGACAAGAATAGAACTGATTGAATTTCAATTATATAAAATAGTAAAAGTTAAGCTTGGCCATTATAAATAATAAACTGTGTTTATTTAAATATTACCTTTTAAATCACAATCATGTGTAACAATATCTTATCGGTGTGATTCGCTTTTGAACTGCAGGACTAAAGTGAACTCACTCTGCCTGCAGGCAGCCAGTCCAGTTTAATTCATCTCACATTTCGGCTGAACCCTAAAAAGGAAATAATAACTTATCTAAGATTAATGAAGAATGGAAAATGTGTTGCTCCACAGCATACATTCACCCAGAATCTGCACAAATAATCTGTCCATGCCCTCATGTTTGATTCATGTAAGAAAAAGGGCCTTCTGACAGTTTGTTAAGTTTTATACTAATACTCTCACAGTGTTGAAAAAGTCACAGCAGTGTACTGGTGCCAAGGCTAAACGAAAAACAGCATGAGAAAATGGAAGTGCTGCAGGCATGAGATTGGAAGCAATGAATAGATGAAAGGCACGAAGCTGAACAAGCTATCCAAAGATCTTATCAATATGTTGCTCAACATTCACAATGTCCGCTTAGAGCTGTGTTACTCACTTTGGACGTGCGCCACAGAACCCCCGACCCCCATTTTGTGCCTGTCTAGCTAATATATAGCTTGAAAGTATTATTCATATTACAAATGCCATATGGTAAAATCAAAGTATTGCCAGTGACGAAGAACTTTGGTTTGGACACTCCATTACATTTACAAAATACTACTGTGCAGAACTGACAAATACAGTTACAAAACAGGACAGCAAAACCCAGCACTATTTGTTCTTATCATTCTTACTACCTGCACAAGAGGCAACTGGTCCAGCAGCTTGAATAGAGTAACAGGGGGCCAAATGTTGAGACCTAAAAATCATAAAAGCATTCAAAAATTCCCCCAACCTTATAGATAATGTGTTAAACACAACAAAGGGAACTCAATCACAGCCTGGATGTTTGAAGGCATTACATGATGGAGTAAACTGCCTTCCTGTATTGCAACAGCATTTCATGATTAAAACAAAAAACACACAATGTTTCCTGTTAAATATATATGCCCTTCTCCCAGGACCTTCTCTCGTCACGTAAACACAGTTCGCATTGACTTTGAATGTTAAGGATATTCAACAGATGTAGGCAATTAAGGCAACGTGAGGTGAAGTGCAAAGATTATTTCTTGACTTGACTAATGAAAAAAACTATGACAGTCAAAGTCATAATAATTAAACATTTTACTTTACTCAACTGTCATATAAAGTTTTTAGTGGACAATCAAAAGGCAAGCACCAGTGTAATGCATCTCTGTACAAGTTATCACAAAAACATAAAAAACACACAATGTGAATTATACAATACCTCCTAATAATGCATTGTTTATAAAAGGCTGATAAAACCTGACAACTGCCATTATATTCAGATGAGTCATATCAGTGTGATCTTTGTATTCTACATGATGCTGATAATTCAAAGTGCCATGTCAAGCAGCAGCCATCAAATGTACTCATTTACATAATAGATTTAATTTATTAGCTTTATACAAGTGAACAGATCTAGCAACCTTGCATTCATTATAGGGCAGTAATTTTACACTAGATGCCCAGTGCTTAGTAGATGGAAAATATATATGAACATATTTGAAAATACTGTATAAAAAAGAAAATATTCTAAAAGGCAATTGCAAAAAGTGTTGATCACTTGTAATGTAAACTTAATACACAGCTATACTGAAGCATATCAACTCTAGCTGCCAAACAGCAAACATGCACAATGTATTATGTGTCATTATGTGTGTATTTTATGAACCTACAGCTGTAAAGTACGATGTTAGATCTTAAACAAATTCGCTATAACTATTGCATTTGATTATAACGAATAATGAACTAAAGTGAACTGAAGCCACACTAATGACCAATATATTACATTAAAAACAATGTGGTGATATAATTCATGTCACTCTAAGACGAAGGGTCATTGATCTGATTTCTCATTGGAAGTAAGATCAATGAGGAATTCCCAGTTCTACATTTGTTTCAATCATATATTCAGAACCTGATCCGTGATTGAAGCATGAGTATTTTATTCATTTCAACAGTAGAGGGCACCCAATGGCAACTTAAAGGCTGGACTTATTTTTAATGTAAAAAAGTAAAAATGCCTACCAGCATTGACTATGGCGTCCACTTCCAAGATGGTAATGTCCCCCTTGTAGAGAGACACTTTGTCACTCACTTTCCCTCCATCCGTCAGTGCCTTCTCTTCTTCTTTGTCACTCTCTGAAAAAATAAATGACAATATGGTAAATAAAAACAGGAATTGACAATGAATGTAGTGCTGTCACTGAATAAATACTTATATTATTTGTATATTTGAACAGACATCAGTCTTTACAAAGAGTTCCCAAACACACAATAAAATGTCATAACAGTACTGTTTGTTTTTTTAAATCTCTGCTGACCGACTTGTTTTAGTGCAATATCTAACTTCAATGTTTTATGCAAAATCAGAGACCATAAATAGATTCTTACAGCGTCAATATATTTGTCTTCTTATTCTTACTGATATTAGCTGCATCTTTTTATCAATCCAAATCACTTACTGTCGAATGAAAGGCAGAAAAATAGTTGAATAGCAGTTAAAGAAATTCAATTAACAGTAACCTTTCCTATCTGACTATACTAAGCCAAGCCTGCACATTGAGAGTCACAAATGATAATCCTTGTCATTGTGGCCTTAACAGTTATCAAATAGCCTTAAAAGCAAGTTCCTCATAAGTCATATTGTTGTAATGGTCGATATCCTCATCACAACTTTACAACTTCAACCCTTCAGTAAAAGCTTTTGTTCATTTCTCTTTTTAGTTGTTTTTTATCACACCATGTTTCCACTCAAAGTTGATATCATACTTTTTGTTAACATGTTTCAACAATGACAGGAGCTGTTGCAAAATTCACAACGTAAACAATTAACACATCTAGAAATTCTTTCAGCAAAGTGTTATCTGTGTTTTAAGTTTAATGAAGACCTAATGTGGCACTAAATACAAATGTGGAACAAAAACAAAAATTACGTTTAGCAATACGTCAATCCCCCCCAACACATAAGACCTCAAAATAAGACGTATAAGGGACTGCAAAGTAAAAATAAAAAACAAAAATAGTAAGGTGGTTTGGGCATCTGGATAGAATGGCTTCTGGTAGTAGTAATGGCCACCTTTGGAGGTTTTCCAGGTATGTCCAACTGGGAGGAAACCCAGGAAAGATCCTGACCTCACTGTAAAGATCACACCTATCCCTTCTGGCCTGAGAACACCTTGGGATCCCCTACGAGAAACTGGAAACTGTTACTGGAGAGAGGGATGGCTGGGTGTTTCTCCTGAATCCGTTGCATCTGTGTGCAACATCAGATATGCCAGACTTTGGGAGGATAGAAGGATGGATGGCTATTCATTCATATATTCATTATCATCTCTGCTTATTACTAGCAGTGTTGTATAGGGGATTGAGCCTATTCCAGCTGACACTGGGCGAGAGGTGGGGTATACCCTGGACAGATCGCCAGTCCATCAAAGTGCAACACACAGACGAACACACATATTCGCTCCTAGGGGGCAATTTAGAATGTTCAATTGACCTAAAATGTTTTTTAGACATTGATGGATATGTGATATCATATCTGTGTTCTGATGCTTAGAAAAATATGTGGTTGTCCATGCTTGATTCATGTAATTTTTATCATATTTTAAAACAAGTATCTGAAAATAATCAGCAATTGTTTGACTCCCTCTTTAAGTGGTGCTGTCCAGCTTCCCCCATGGCTGGTGTCACTGAAGCATCATCACATAAGGCCAGAAAGCAGTACTCACTTTATCAAAAAAAAGTTAGACAATTCACAGTGATCACAGCCTTTTGCCAAGAGCAGAAAACTGTGGAACTGGGCCAGGAAAAGAGCAGACTGAGCGCTTGTTAGTTCAACTACCAGCAGAGTCCCTGCAGTGGCCACTGCATGTCTCAAAGTGCAAAATTTGGATCCCCTGTAAGACATGAGCCTAAATATACGCCTTCACACAGTTTTGTTGTGGATCAAAGTTTTAATTATTTTGTGTATCAAACTGTGTTGTTACATATTTGTTCTTGTCATGACCCTAAATACACATTTAGCCAGGTGAAACTAATATAACTGCCATGCCATGCCTGCCCATGAATAAATTGCCCTGCCTATAAATTAAAGAGAACAGAAAGACAATCAGCATTGAAAAGCTGGGTACAATCATTCAGACACAGTGACTGCTTGGCACAAGTCTATACTAGAAGTCCATATTACAAAATAGCCTTTTATGATACTGAGATAACCAGTTTTTTTTTTACTGAAAGTGTGCATTTATTAGCAGTTTTGATCCTGACATGAGAGTGTATCAGTTTAAATTTGTATGCAGATTTGTAAACAGTATCTCTACAAATACATGTTAAGGGAGCTTATAGTGCTGATTTTATTTTCTTGCTCAAGAACCCATCAACAGATGGTAGGGCTGTGCATCAAACTGCCAACCCTCCATTTGGAGGAAAATCAATTACTCTATTATAGAGCCAAGGCCATCCAAACAATTTGGATAGGATCATTTGGATATTTTGTTTTAATGACAATGTCTCAAAGATATTTGATACTGCAATACCATTTTTGTATAAGGATTTTTAAAAGGATGAATTGACTGATTCTAGTAGAAAAAAGTAATTAAAAACTATACAGCAATGTTGAGTTTTGTTTATGAAATGCAATAGAAAAATACTTCAGTTGCCCTAATCACATGGGGGTCTTAAACTCACAAACTATAGGTTGTATTTGGGCTGCGCACCTGAGACCCCTAATAGCATGGTTGCAAGATTCCGTATGTACAACATGGCTAAACATTGAGAAGAGAACATGCCAACGGCCCACACAGACTCTGCCTTTCTTGGATGCCCCGCCTGGGGAGATTCAAATGAGCGATTGGACTAGATCCACATGGACGATTTGGAGGAAAATAAAGATATCCTAAAGGCTTCCTAAAGCAATCTTAGCAACAACTAACATTGGTCCTACAAACCTGCACAAAGAAAAATGGGAAACTGAAATGAACATAGGCATACAGCAAGACAGGTGAAAGGAAATATGTACAGAAGCGCATCAAGTCACTAACTAAAGTTGTTTTAAGCATATGGTAAGTGAAGAGCAGCGGGCTAAATGTGAGCTTATATGTATTAGTCTATGCAAGCTGCAAAAATTTCAATAAAAATTAAATGAGACAAAAATCCTCCTTTAACACACACTTTTCAAGGTGATTTTATCTATTTAATTATCTATTTATTTATTTAGTTTAGCTGCAAAAGTAACTGATGGATAATGCAAACCTATTTAAGTTTAATTAAAATCCTCTAAACGTGTACTCTATCTAATTAGTTAAATAATTTGGATGTCTTTGTCATTTAGCATTAAACTTACAAACAACAACAAACATTTCCAAAAAGTGCTTTATTGGGTGCAACTGGGGCATTTGGATTATTTATTCTTAAAACACACACTGCTTCCTAGCCTGTGGGTCTAACCACAGACAGCCACTCATAATCCCACGTACTACTAAGGTCAATTTAGAGTTGCCTGACATGCATGTTTTTGACCAGTGAGATGAAGCTTGACCCAGAGAAAACCTACGCATGAATGGGGATGACAAACAAATTACACACAGAAGGGCCTTCCTGCCTGGATTCAAACCAGCAACCCTGTAACTATGAGGCAACAATACTAAACACCACCTCACCAGATCGTAAAAAAACTACAAAGGTTTGTGTGTTTATCATCCATAGTAGGCACGGAATTCTGCCACAGGTTTTACTTACGTATATTTTCCTCTCTCCAGGTTGGAATCCTTTCCAGAGGTATATAATCTTGGCGACGATACTCCTTGCGCTTCTCCTCCCAATCTAAATTGAGAAGTCTTTCTGTTGAAGAAAAACACCATAACTTTTCAGAGATGACATTTTAAAGATAAAGATAAAATAAATAAACACAGAGGCAATAACCTGTTCAATCCTGAATCAAATTGTAACTGAAAAACTAATTATATCAGAAAGGAAAAGTTAATGTTTTAAAAGCCAATAATTTCACTGAAAGCTCTTTAATTTCTTTATTTATCTTAATGCAGCAACAAACTGTCTCCGTTCGCCCGCCTTATTTTACTTAAATTCCTGGAATAGCAGCAGCTTCATTTTGATTGTGGATTTATCTGTAACTAAACTACAGTCTGCAGGTTCTGCCAACAGTACGATCGCAGTCCTATTTGTTCAATGCTCCTTAAAGAATGGATTCTGAACAGATGATCCACCTTTAGGCAAAATATTCTTTGTCAGCTTGGGGAGATGAAAGTGAAAGTGCAGTAAGGCAGCAGTGAATACAGATCTAGCTGCCACAATGTTCAGGGCATCGACTAGCGGTCAAAGCATTTTGACTGAACAACAGTCTTTTAAAAACCTTGTTCTCAGCAACAAGCACATGATGACCTTATTCAGATGCTACAGGCTTATTTGAATTTTGTTGTGAGACAGACACTGAAGACTTGAACAGGATGTGTCTCTCACAGCAGTCTTTTTCAACTCCAGGTCAGTGCAACTCAAAGTGTTCACACATGATGGATTCAGATGTAATGAACATAAATGAGTTGGCAACAGCAAACACTACACATTTTTTTTTATACTGCACTTTATTGTGCATCTATTTGGAGGGCATACATTTGTCAGACTTATTTTTATTACTGTTACTAAGTCTTTCACACTTGTCTGAAATAACACACACATATATATATAAAAGTTACAAGGCTTTACTCTAATATAAATAAGGTCTGATCCTATTTCCATAATATATATGTATACGACATTCCTAGGGCCATACTGAGGTAGAGTCTCACAGTAAGTCAGGCTTAAATCAAATCCATTACAGTCATACAGGACATCCACTGTATCCATTATAAATCTTCTCTCCCCTTTTCTTCATTATGCTATTCCCAAAGCTTAATCTATTCTCCATGGATGGATAAAATGACAGGTGAACATGGTAAAGCTCTCAGGATTACAATAAAGGGCTTCATGTAGAACTAAAGAATTCCAGAGCTTAGCTTGGCTTCCATGGGAAGTCTAACTAAAACCATTTCATATATGCAACGCACAAGAAATGTAAAAAAATGTAATAAACTCAACAAGAATATCAACAGTTGCTGATATTGTTAATATAACTGTAAAGTCAGATGAACACAGGTTAGAGGCGGAAAGTGACCTCACAGGAACCTGGGGAATACTGCTGCTGCTCTTGCTGATGAGGCAATCATAATTTGCAGGCTGGAGTATGGAAAGGAAACAGGTGTAGGGAATATCTTTAACGATGGCTGCACTCCATTTAGTGTTTTCTGGTTTCTGTGCTATGCTGTCCCAGTGAAAAAAAATGGACATGATGGATAGAAACAGAATGCAGATCGAACTTATGAATTTGATTCATTACATCCATGGTAGAACTGTTGTGGAACAACAAGAATAAAAAGGTTGCCAGTGAAAAAGCTCCAGAGCAGGCGAAGAAGTCATGAAGGCAGTTAAACGTGACATTCTTGGCCTCTTTGAGGATCAACAGGTCCATTCTTTCTGTCTCTGGGATTAAAAACTCTTTGAATAGCATATCAATTCTCATGATACCCCAGTTTCATTCTGTTTAAGTTAAGGAGCGCGTATGTTATGCCTTCACCAAACAAATCCTGAGTATTCTCCCTCTAAATTACAGAAGGCGTTTCTTTGTGTACAACTGTTCTTTGGCAACATGCTACAACTGAGTTGCAGAGAAAGATGCTTGGTACTCATGGAGCTCATGTAGGTGTATAATACAGGTGGAAGACAGCCAATGTTGCTCGGTGTTAATGGGATAGGTGCATAAATATCCTGGGAACATCTTTGAGCAGGTAAAATGTAAGCTAATAAACAGGCAAAGAGCACTGCGAATGTCCAACGTGCAATACGGCAGACAAAGGCGCAACATATAACATCTGGACAGTCACCGTAAGGTATAAGCGAACAGTCCAGAAATTGTCAGAGCTAAAACCAGAAAATAGCCAGAGGGTCTGTCCATCTTCTGCTGGGGGTACAATGAATGCTGTTTGCCATGGATATGATGATAGCCTTATCCCCCCCACAAAAAACATCCCTTACCTTTTTCAGTCTTCCAGTCCTTTTTCTTTTTGCTCATGCTGCCGGAGTGATTAGACTTCGAGTGGTTGTTTTTTGACTGTGGCAACCCCAGGCTCACAGTGAATAGAGTTCCGGGGGGGGAAATGAAAGAGAAACGTAAAGTGAAACAGCTCTGGACGGTTGTCTCACCTGTGAAGCTGTCAAATTTCTATGGACCTCAGTCACTTCAACCTACCGTGATTGCTCCGTAAATTATGTGTACGAATTTTGACCAAACGATTGGCTCTCCGAAACAAGGAAGTGGCTGTGCGATTGGTCCGGCTCGTAAGTCAATAAAAAAATAGCTCACACAGAGTGAAGGGTAGGTTGTTTCCGGCGGTTCATCCTCCTGGCGTGTTAGACGGTAGGCATGCTAAGCCGGGCAACTCTACAGTATCCTAAAACAGAATTTCACTAGAGTGAATATTCCGCTTACTTAAATCAAATTGTTATTTAGAAACAACAAAAAAATAGATTATTTTTTTACGTATGGCAAGCAACTTCATCGACTGATTTTTGCCATTTAAGATGAAATATTCTTACGACGTGCATGTGACAATTCCTTAACAAGTAAAACAAGAATAACAAGTATATTTAACCGTTGTATTCAGGAGACAGCATGTATGACATAGCCTTGTGTTATGATTAATCTGAAAATATGTATCATTAAAGAATATCCCAGTTTGTGAACTGTAGGTTCATTTGTAATGTGGATATCTACAAAATAATGATATGATAATTTATCACTAGCTTGGATAGTTCTACCTTAGGGCTGCCATGTTATCTGATAATTGTTCACTATTTACACCTAATGGGTACATGCATCTAGTCCTGCATGTCAGAGTACAGTATCTGACGGTATACCAGATCAGACCAGTGAGTCTGGCTGTCATATGTGAGAGGATGGTTCCAGAGACCACCGTCTGTCATCTGTTGTGTCAGCTCTGCTCTAGTCCAGACCCATCTGCTCCTGAAACCACTGACATTATCTGAGTGGAAAATGTCTTTCATCCAAGCTGTAGCTTCTATGAACCGAATCCAGTTTTGTTTTTGTTTTTTTGTGAAATATTGCCTGTATAAGAGGGTACATTTTTAACTGAATGCATTAACATATAACAGTGTGATCCAGCTCAGTCCGAACTTCAAAAGTTGCATTGTAAATCTTCTGTCAACTGTTTAATATTACAGCTGAATTAAAGATCTTTATCATACTGAGCTGCTGCACTTTTTAGGATATTAATACAAAGTAATCACCTCACATCTTCCACAGAACATAATGATTTTTCCACAGATTATTAATTGAGAAGACTATTATGTATTAAAAAAAATTCAAACGGCACCATATCGTTTTCTGTTTCAAGCAAAAGTGGGAAATCAATGTTCTTTTACACAATTTCTCAGAATATAAAATGGGATTATAAATAAAAGTAAGACTTCTGCTCCACTTTTAAACTTAACTTAAATTGATTGAGGATGTGTACAGTTTTCCTTCTGCATTGTTCAGGCAAAACCACTAGATGTCTGTCTTGCAGTACAGCAGCATTGTAGTCAGTAAGAGGGAGTCTGGACCTGAGCAAGATTTCTCCAAGTATTTAATCAGCAAGTCACTCTGCTATTCTTCTATTATACTTAACCTAAGTAAACTGCACATTTGATTCAAGCAGTTCTTTTATATTGTTTAACTATTTTTTACCTAACTTATAAGACCTCACCTTCATTTGCAGTAATGCACAGTCTTGATCAGATGTATTTGTTTTATACAGCGTGTTATTTATATTAGATGCCACTGGTAAACATTTGATCATTATGATTAAATAATTTATCAATGGTTAGAGTTGAGACAAAAAGATGCCTTGGTGAGAAAAAAAATCTAAAACTTGGCTGGCCTGCAGGGCAGAAGACAGAGGAGGATCCTTCTGAGTACATTTGCGTAGGTTGTTATTACTGTCATGGTTACAAGGAGATTAAGCTGCCCACTGTAACTACAAGTCACCAGCAACATTGCCTCTTCTGAATTGTTGCTGCCTTGGTTAGTTTCCCAGTTATGGAACTATAATGTAATTTTCAAAAGACAAATACACTGAATAATTCCTTACTCCCAAAATGCTTGTGAAATTAAGTGACTATATATCTTATTATGTCAATATACAGAAGTACATTTATTACATTTAGACTCATTAGAGTCTTCTCTCTCTTAAACTGGCTGGTGTAACCTGGCCATGATAAACAAACCATCAGTGTAAAAAGATTGTAATAAATAGTAACTTCTGTAATTACAAAAAAGATACAAGTTTTAGGTGCGATGTGCTCTAAAAAAGGATGTTTTGTTTGTTTCTTCTTTTGTTTGCCTTTTTTGTGGTCTCATGAAAACATAAGTGCACTACAGTTTTACTGCCTCTAAAATCTTATTTTATTTCACTCAGTATCTCAAGCTCCTGTCGCTAATTTTTCATTCACAAATGTGTGTTCGGTACCTGCTTAAATCATTATTAGTACTGCCTTGACACCGTGCGGTAATATGTTCATGAGAACATTGCGGTTTATGGTGTGGCACTTTGTTTAGTCTGCATCCTCAGAATGGGCTTGAGGTTGGATTAAAAAAGCCGCACACTGTGAGGATTCTTTTCCTGCAAAACTCTTGTGGGTTCCAGCTTTGGCAAAATATGAAGAAACTACTCCCTCTGTTTATTTTACTTCATTTAATAAAACCCCTATCCAGCATGTCTCCCCACAGCAGAGGGTACCCACTCTCTGCCTTCTGAAAACAGCAGGAATTCTTCTTGATCGCTGGGTGAACTCCAGTTGAATGGACTTAGTTTGAATTGAAGTAAGATGTAGAAAAAAAAGTGGTAAAATCATTCCAGATTGTTATAGCTTATGTGCGTCTACAGTGTGTTCGGTTACTTGACATTTCCTTCCTGGTACAATGACACTGTTATGTTTCTGACTTTGTTTTTTTCCCTTCCAGATTAATATAAAAAGTCTTATCTGAAATCTACCTATTTCTTCAGGGTTTCAATTAGTTCCCAAACAAGTAAAAAATTGGTCCATTTGATCATGCTTTTCTATCATTATTTCTAATCTGAAGAAATATCTGCAATGCCTCTAAGAGGTCCGACAAGGATATTAAAGATCAGACTTAATTGCAATATATCTTAATAAAACAGTTAGTCTGTTTAGCACTTACCATTTACTAGTCAGATCCGTCACATCTCTGTGTTTCAGACTTTCTGATAGATTTCCATCAATGCAGTTAAACATTAAGACACGTTAACTTTTATTTATCGTGTTATATTTGATCTCTCCAGTTCTTTGCCATGTTGCACATTGGCTCATAAATACTCTGTGTGTGAGTTGTGTGACTGTTTGGATTAATCATGTTTGCAGTGATGTTTGAAACCCTCTCTGTTTAAACCAAATGTACTGGCAGTTTCCCTCTACACACCTTAAAAAACAAATAGAAGTTTCCACAGAGATTTGATGGCATGTGATACTAATGCCATCCCATGAATGCTGCTTGACCCCTGTCGGGCCTCTGTACCTTGGCCCCAGCCCTCTTTACATTAATTGGTGAACAGCCCTCTTTCATCTCTGCTGACTTGATCCAAAGCAAACACAGCACATTTTGATTAAAGCAGGGCTCCTTCTCCTGGCATGCCCTACTTAAGACACTGAAAATACAGAGCATAAAATTGGGTGTGAAAAAGAATTCCCCCACTTTTACATACACATTATCTGGGGACAAAATTAAGATAAAGAGCCACTATTAGACTCTTAAATCATGCCGTTTAAAAACAGCTCAGGATGTTAAAAGGGAAAACTACCCATCCATATCCTACCCCAACTCATTTAAATTTATATGATGTTATGTGGAAATATGAATTGAAATCAAAAGTACTTGATTTTCATCTTACAAAAATACTTAAACTTAAATTCTTTTTGAGAAACATTTTGACCTTCGAGTTGAGCAAAGAGTAAATAAGAGACATTATTTTCTTTAAAAGACTACACACGATAGATCTCCTTCATTCTTTATAGCTAGAGTGTAAATTGAAAAAAATTACACTAAACAACAGTTTAACAGGATGATCATGTAAATAAAAAGCCTGCTCACAAATGTCTGCAGGGCTTAGCAGTTAGACACCAGGCACGTTGATTTTCTTCACAGCCTGGAAAAAATAATGACACACAAGAAAAGCATTGCCTCGTGTTGTCTCCAAAAGTTGTTGCATATAGGCTACTGGGCATCATGAAAATGTCCCCCTCTCGTGGTCTTCCAGACATTATAGTTTATAGTTTTTCTGACCGATTGTGAGAAGTTTAAACAAAGGCCTTCCTCGTCACCTTAAGACCCTCCAAGAAAAATGTATGATTATATGTTAATTGGAAATTAACTTAACTTAAATAAAAATGTTCAAAGTAAGGGAAGCTCAGAAAAAAAAGTGCTATTTTGTGGTTGGAATGTGTTTCCATGTGTCATGCTTTGAATTTGAGCTGAATTCTTTAAAAGTTCTCCATCTCCCCATCCATCCATCCATCCATTATCAATACCTCTCATTCCCTGGTGGGGTCGCGGGGGGAACTGGAGCCTATCCCAGTGGTCAACGGGCGAGAGGCAGGGTACACCCTGGACATCGCAGGGCCTCCATCTCCCCACAAACCCAGAATTATTTATTTATTGTTTTCATATTTTTACTTAATGATAGTGATTCTTTAATTGACTGAAAGTTATTTTTGTCTCAATAGTTTTTTTGTGTCACCCATTTCATTCCCCAAGTGGATTTAATGTAATATCCCTTTTTAACATTTTCTTAATCTAATTTTTGCATTCTTACGTTTAAAGTTCTTCAGCTAAAAAGCTGTCAATCCTCCACATCCATCAGGCTGTTGGATACACACAGTAATCCATTCCAGCTGAGACTGATTACATCATCAAGTGTAAATTAAAGACTAAATTAGTTTTAATTGACTATTTAATCAAGCAGTTAACAAACGCCCCACTTTTACGTCTTATTGATTAATGTTTTTTCTAATCTTAAATGTCTGCCCTCTTATTTACAGAATAAAATGTAAAGTTGAAAAAAAAAACTGCGTCGGACATCTGTTCCTTTTCCGTCTCATCCACGTGTACTGCTGTTTGCAGTGAACGCACTTCCTTAGCAACGCGTGTCTGAACCAGGAAGTACTTGTATCCATGCTTTAGCTAACAAGCTGTGGACACCACAGAGCAGCGAGAGAGTAAGTCAGCAAAGTTTTGTGGAGTTAAAATTATTAGTACCGCTACTATTCAGGGCTCTTCGACCCGTGGCAGGGAACGTGTCTGTTAGTAGGCGGTCCTTTCGCTGGGAGGGAAGGAGTACGGGCTGTAAATTGAGATAATTCTCTTGTTGTGTCAGGAAGCTTTAGGCTAACATGCTAACGAAAAAACAACTAGCAGAACTTTAAATAGCTTATTTGTTCTTGCTGTCTTTTTGAATGATTAAAAACAGACTTCAAGCACAATGTAACAAGCGCCTAATTGATGGTATAAATCGACGTATGTATTCGTTTTTAAAGGTAAGGATTGGGGTGCTAACTAACAAAGTATACTCTAATCAATAAGTTGTGTATGTATAACAGTAACTCCGTCGTAAAGGATAACTGTATTATCGATATACATGTGTCTGCGAATACAACGTTGTTAATTTTTACTTCCTGAAGCGCTGAAAATGGAGACAGATCACTTGTTTTATCTTCAACGCTGCTCATGTAATTATAGCGTCATATTTGGCCGCGGAATACTCAGAAATGGGATCAACAAGAACTCGATGGTGTCAATCCTAACTGTTAACTCATGGTGCTGAAAAAAAAAGTGGTTGGTACTGACTGCATTTCTATTTCTTTCACAGGTCTGCCAGGAAAATGATTTTCTTACTACTGTTTGACAGGCAGTGAAAAGCTTGTCAAGTTATGTAGGGGCTATGGAAAGTCTAAAGAACTGTACAGAGGAACAGCAACCCCCCTCCCTTTTGACCAACTCGTGGTCCAAAAAACAAGAAGCAAGCAAAAGTCAAAAGCCAAAAAGTGTCGGTGGATTTGTGTTAGTTCACGCAGGTGACTTTACACATAAAAACTACCAGAAATAAATGAAAAAAGCAAATGGTACCCTTTTTGTTAATGGTCAGATCTTTCTTTTCTTCTATCATTTGCTTTAAGGAGCAGGATACCACTCTGAATCAAAAGCCAAGGAGTACAAGCATGTTTGCAAAAGAGCTTGTCAACGCGTGAGTGTTTTTTCAAAAAATAAATAACAGTTTTGTATGCAAACAAGCCGTATTACCCTTCTTTTCCAGTTGTAATGTTTAATTTTACATATATGCAGTCTGTTTTGCTATATCTTTGTTGATGAGAAAAATGCTGAGAACCTTGTTTGTATGTGTGCATCTCTTGGCTCTGAATGAGACAATCCAATGCAAAACGGTGGTGAAATCATTTTACAAAAGCTCCTGCTGCTTTGACTCAGGGGCTATCGCTTCATGACTGTATCTCTCTCCAGGCTGTGGACCAACTCAAAGCTGGGGCTCATGCAGTGGAAGCAGTGACTGCAGCACTGGTTGAATTAGAGGTTGGTTGATCATTAACCATATCTGATTATTTAAAGTCAGCTTTTCACCCATGGGCTGACTCACAGTGTTAATTGTCTTATTATCATCCTAATTTCTCACTGATCAACAAACCATTAAAGTATGTCAATATCAAGTTTTTGTATAAAACAGGCACCAAAAAAATCTACTTTTGGACCATGTGTAGACTTTTGTGGCAGGTTCCATGAAACTTAAACTATTACATATTATCTCTGACAAGAATGGCACTATCACAGTAGATTTGCCACACAAGGACAAAATTGTGAATTTTTCAGGGTCTGACTGATATTGTCTTACTGAACATGGTACCACAGCTAAGACTTAATCCAAAAGATTTTTTACCATTAGTATTTCTTACTCATTCTATAATCTGGATTTGTATGTTTTACCTGTGTTCAGGACTCTCCTTTCACAAATGCTGGCATGGGCTCCAACCTTAATTTGTCCGGGGAAATTGAATGTGATGCAAGTATCATGGATGGAAAGTCACTGCACTTTGGTTCGGTGGGAGCTCTGAGTGGTGAGTTACTACATGTTTTAAAAACGCTCTTTGTTCCTTCAGGGCTTTTAGCAAAATTATTTTCTTTTCAGTAATCAAACTCAGTGTACAGTGTAATATTTGATTATGACTTGTAATGTTGTCTCTGATGATTCTGACTGTCTCCTCAGGTATTAAGAACCCAGTGTTGGTTGCAAACCATCTGCTGAGTGAGGGGCAGAAAGGGAAGCTGTCAGCCGGCAGAATACCACCGTGGTGATTAGAATGGTTTATAATCAATATTGTTGGGAATTATATAAACCTGCTCTTAATCAGTCTCCGTTTCTAGTTTTTTAGTGGGCAGAGGGGCACATGACTGGGCAGTCAGCCAAGGAATACCCACATGCCTTTCAGAGAAAATGACCACCAGTAAGTAATATATTTCACTAACTTACAAACATACAGCATCTGACACACGTACACAAATACATGATATACATGTGTCCATTACACATGCTTTACTATATATGGATGCCGTGGGACAATATTATTTTGTCACACCCAGAATTCAGTTTATCTGCATACAAGAGGAACAAGCGAAAGATGGAGCTGGCGGAGAGAATGGACACAGGACATAATCAGACGAAGAAAAGACGACAATCAAGTGAAAATGTGAGTTCACTTGGATAGAATTCAACACGAATGTGGTAAAATATCAAGTTCTACAGAAGACCTATATTTGTATGAAATAACCTGCTTCCCACCTTGCATATTTGCATGGTGTGCTACAATATGGCATCAAAGTGAGTGGAAAAGCTGGATTCAGGGAATGTGTATAAAGAATCTTGTATCCAGGACATCAAGTTATTTTTAGTCATTTGTTTTTATTCACCATCAAATAATCTGAAGGTTATCCGAGATGAAATTACCAGGCTGTAAAGTGCCTTAAAAAAAAGTAAAAGCTGCAAAGATTTGAGGGCCATTTGCAGTGACCTCACAAAGAGCTGAGCTGAGAGCTTTTGAGAGCAGAGCCATTTCACCACTGGGAAGTTTATGTTGGGGATTTTGCTGAATCAAATTGAACAAGTCGGCAGTCGTATTTCATTAGACTGTTTTTTTAAATCATATTTTGGTTTATTCAGTTCTGCTACATCAGTGCTGAAAATTAATGACTTATTAATAAAAAAGAAAGCAAATAACATAGGTGGGCTGCTTGTTTATTCCATTGATTTATGATTGTGTAGTTTCATTTAGTTTGAAATGGTTGACTTGCTTAAAGAGAATAAAAAGAGTGTTTACTATAAAGTGATTGACCTGTGTGATGATTGATATGGGACAATTTGGTCCAGTTAAGCTAACACTGACTCATACTCTGACTAAGTTTTTAATATTTTGATATTAGGATATATTACTTTATCCTTCATTTTACCTTTGTAATTGAGATATTTAGTCATTTAAGAGGAAATAACCTTATTTTGTGTCAAGAATGACGCTTCAACACTAGCTTAAATAGAAGAAAAGGATTGTGGCCCGGTTTTGATTTTGATCTACAATATTATTTCATAATTTTTGTCTTTCAATCTAAAAAAAATCTATTTTCATCCTTTTTAAGTGCAATATAGATGACTGTCTTTTTGTAGCAAATAGTTCAAATTTTATTAAGCTTAGGGAAATCTAAAACATCAACATGAGTCCAAAGATGTTTCCATGTTTCACAGTCATTATTTGTGGTGGATTTTTCATTGACAGGGACTGATAATGAATAGCACAATGATTTTTCATCAAAGGATATCTGGCTGTAGTTCTTTTTGGCCTCAGAAGCCTGTAAACTGGGCTGTTTCTGGAGAGCTGAGATGACATGGAAATGCTCTTTCATTGTTCTTTTCCCATTCGCTTCCCCTTTGCTTTTTGATGCCAATGTTTAATCAGCATCTTTAATTTCTGGTGGGAGGAGATTTCTGATCATGCATCATAATGTCAGTTTGTACATTCACCATTACATTTATCATGCGGTCTGATTCTTGGTGGTTCAGGAACAAATCACTTCCAATGCAAATCGCAATCAGGGAAAGAAACAGCCGATTGAAATTATAAGTGATTCATAATTTCATGAAGTGTGCTTGTTTATCTTTGTAATTACTCTAAGTGACAGATGACAAATTTGGTTCGGAATGTGAAAGATTTGGTGTCTCCTTGTCTATTTTGCATACATCTTGATTTGTGCTTGTATTTGTATGTTTATAGCTCATGTGACTCTTCCTTACTGTGATGTAGGAAAATGGCTCAGGGTGCCTCGACACAGTCGGAGCTGTTGTGGTAGACTTGGAAGGGAACGTGGCTGCAGCGGTGTCCAGTGGAGGCCTCGCCATGAAACACCCCGGCAGGGTTGGCCAGGTAGTGAGGCTCACTTTTATTTGCTTTCTTTTCCTTTCCCATTTATTCATCCACATGGAAACTCTTAATAAATTCTATCTTTAAGTAGGTGTTTCTGTTCACTAGTACTACTACTTTTTTTTTTTTAAATACGTGAAAGGGAAGCTACCTAGTTTGCTCCTTGTTTTAATCCTAGATATATTCTGTTTAACATGTCTAGATTCATGCACAACTCAATTAGCTCATCGCAATAACTAAACTTGTGTGGAAAAGAAAACAAGAAACAAAGTTGTTTTTTTTTTACTGTGGAAAATACCCAGATAAAAAGCCACTAATACAGCAACACTCTAAAACACCATGACATAACACTTGATTTTAAGTTAAATCAATCATTCCAAGCTGCGTTTAGCTTGTGGCAGCAGCATCACTCAGCTGAGATATTTCCCCAGAAAAGCTTCTTTTGGACTGTGCCAGACATGCCCACTGTTATTGTTATCAGGCAGCTATCTTTGATTCCTCCGTCCAGAACGCATTATTCTAAAAACCTGGTCTTGGGTTATATGTTCTTTGGCAAAGTGTTATTTCACCCTGTGTTTTTTGGATAGCTAAACCGTTTTATAAAGGAAAAGCTCGAGTGCAAGTCAGATGTGTTTCAACATATTTTTCTAATTGATGTTGAACGTACTCTGAGTTCTTTTTTAGCATCTAACATTGTTCTTAGAGGTTTTTTTTATTAGAAAATCTGAAATCATGTGATGGTTACAAACACTCTATCACACTCTATCAAAATATTTCATATCATTTTGTATAAAGGTGCTGAGTTACTCTGACTTTCATGATGCCAAACACAATTAATTAAGATTAATTCTGATCTCAAATTCAGATCTTTCAATTCTATACTTATTTCCCTGTGACAGACTTTAAAGATCTGATTTGCCCAACTGTTTTTATTTATACAGCACACAAATCTTTTCCCCTCTCACCCCAGTTATTTTTAAAGCTGTGAAACTTGAGGCTAAATAGCTGTTTAATTAATTATCCAAACGTGTAAAAAAAAAACACTGATCAAAAGCTAAATAACATCTTAATAACTCAAGTAAAATCTGCTGACTTATAAACTAATGAGAGAAATTTAGTTTATTTAATGAAATACTTTTTTTCTTCTAGTTTTTGAGCCATCCCTTTGAGATTCACTTAGAACGCTGTGGTTCAGTGCATCTCCACTCAGTAATATTCACTTTTCAGAGCAGAAACACAACACTATTAGTTAGAATGTGTCTGCTACATGTGAAAATGGGCGATTTCTTGTCATTGCATTAGCCAAAATGTTCTCCGGATGCATGTTTCAGTGTTTCAAATCCCTCCATTTGGACGGTCGTTTGGTTAATCGGTACACCTTGGGACAGACTGAACACAGCAGCGTGGAGTTTTCAGCAAGCAGAAACTACAGTCTCGTGGCTTTCTCTGCTCTCTTTATTCTTGTCTTTGCTGTTTTAATGTAGTATTGCCTTTACTTGATACTGTAAACACAAACGTTACAGATTTTCAGAATTAATGAGCTGTTTTTCTTTCACGTATACCAGATCCTTGTGTTTAATATAAATGGAACTCGTTTCTTCTAAAAGTAGCAGAATGATAAGAAGAAGAAAAACTATGTAGGACTGAAAAGAAGGAAAATTTCAAATTAACTGCCTGAATCCAATCATCACTTTTAGTGTCAAGCATGATGTTCCAGTGTGGTTTGGGATGAAAAGAAAACCTATGTATTCTCTCTTTTTCCCTTCATTTAATTTACTTTAATTTGAGAATGTAATGATTTGATAATGTATAAGACTTTGTTGATGATCTTTTTACAAAATCAACCATTTTTCTAACTCTTTTGTAGGCTGCTCATTATGGATGTGGCTGCTGGGCTGAAAACGCCTGTAATATGAATCCTTACTCCACAGCAGTGAGTACCTCAGGTATACCACCACATTCCCCAAAAGCCCTCCTCACATTTGCGTGTGTCTTTTAGCTAAAGTCTGTACCCAGTTTCCCGGTCTTACAGTTCAGCACCAGCCTTTTGTTTTTGAAGTGAGTCAAGCTCAAAAGAGCTGGATAATACTTTCCGATGACCTCCAGCCGTTCCTGCTGAGTGACTCTCATCGGTCACTTCCTCGGCTGATTGAGTCATCATTATCTGCTCTTTGTTAGTCAGCTGCATGCTGGGGGCTTTGCAACGCTTTCTGGTGACATGTGACACCTGCCGTTGACATAAAAGTAGAGCCACTGCGAGGGCCATACACCCTCCATGAATTTGCCACAGTTTTCTAGATTAAGGATGTTTGCTAAGTATCATAACAATGAATTGAAGCAAACATAGAAATTAAGTTTGTGTTATTTATAGGTATTTCTGAGTGATTTATTGAGCAGTACACTAATGGACCAGTCTCACCATGTCTTACCGTGTATACATTTTTATTTGATTTCTTTTAAAGTAAAATATAGTAACAGATATAGTAAAATATAGATGAAGGAAAATATAGTAACAGATAACAGCTCTTTTGGCATTTTATTCACATTATACGTATTAGAATATTTACTCTGCTGCCTATTTAATATATTATCAAAATGGAATCTAAAGTCTTTTATCCACAAAAAGCCATTTCGCAATTGTTTCATCTCCTCTGGCTTTCATGATTAAAACATTTGAAGGGTGGAGTCATGTCTAGTTTTTTCCTTTTTACAGCTAAGAGACTACAGTTCCCTTTTCCTGAAAAAAAGGTGTCTCTGTGCTGTGTTGCAAGATGTTATTAATCTAAAATATGAATCCTTCCATTTGTTGTATATCTTCTGTTTTTAAGTGAAATTGCTTTGAGTTTTCTGTCTAAGAGCTTTGACCTCCTAATTGGTTGACCGTTGCGTGCCCCTATGTTTTTGTTTTTTATGCCTCACTTTGAATGGACTTACCTTCTGCAAGGTTTAAATCCTTTCCTTTGTTTCCACTGACAATGCAACATTGAAAAACTTGTTTTTACAAAGCTGTATTCAGTTAAATCAAGTATTTTTGTGTTTGGTATAATTTAATCTTAATATTTACACTGTCATTGTAACTCTAACAAAGCCTAGATAAGGTCTTGTTTTTCATAAATCAAATTAAGTCAGCTGCTTGAACAAAGACTTTGTTCCCAGTCTGCCATCATGAAATCAGCTGAATTCCTCCTGAGCAGATTTATGTAATGTAATGCACAGTGAAAGTGCATCCATCCCCAAGCTGAAAGAAACGCTGCTAGATCTGAGCTGAATACGAGGTAGAGAGTCCATGTAAGCCTTCCTCTTTAATATTTGTAGACGTCTGCGACATAGCTTATGGGGAACATTAAAAAGCCTTTGATGTGGATCTGTAGCCTAATGCTTTTCAGTGCAGATGAGCTGATTCAGGCAGACAGGCCAAAGCTTCAGTTCAAATGTTTTCAGATCGCTAACATGGCCTGCGTTTTGTACCGTTGGGAAGCTTGCTTTAATAAATTATCCAAAGCCATTCCTGAGACATTTAAAGGAAGTAAAACAAAAAACAACTATTTAATTGTGTTTTTTTATTAACAGTTCACTCTGCTGATATATAATCTATAAGCAACAGTGATAAACCACTTTAACTTAATTAATTGTGCTGTGTGAGTACTAAATCAGGCAGCATAAGAGCAGTGTGTTAATATTGATCTGCTGTTTTTCTGTTATCTCAGAAGATCTGCATGTATTTCCACCTCACCCTGTCCTCCCAAATTGTGGCTTTGTGCTTTGATGTTGCCAACAAAAAAAGCAAGCGTTTTGTTTGGAAGGAATAATGTGTGTTCCAACTCAGCACCTGTTTTTAATTTCCTAACATGAAAGGCGTTTCCATCAAAAGAGACCCAAAACCCCCCACAAAAAACAATAATTTTTACTCTGTCATAGGAGTGTGATCCTCTCCCATTATGTCACCCTCTTTACCTTTCACCTCACAAACAGCCACACAATTGTCATACCTCACATCTCTGAAATTACTGTCAGTTTTTGTCATATGCGAGTCCCTTTTTCATCTGTCCTTTATGTTGCTGTGGTCAGTGGCTGAGCTAATCTTCAGCATTACGCCTTTCTCATATTGGCACAAACGGCGTCCACTTTAGTGTTCTTTCACGTTTCAGTAATAAGCAGACCAGCAAAATTTCCGACCTTTTGCTTATTCTAAAAGTCCCAAAACAATTGTGTTGAATACTCAGTCCCTCTTAAACAGAAGGGGTTTCTAGTACATAGTGCACAAGGCATAGTGCATGACCAGTCCAACCTTCTGCTTTCCTTTAAGAAGAACTTGAAATTGCTCCAGGCATTTGGTCTCCCCAGTTACAAACCTGCATTCAGTTGTGTTGTAGTTACCTGATGTTTTATGGGAACCTTCATTTGTGTTTAGAGAAACAATGAGGCTATATTCCCCTGCCTTTATGAGTTTTCATGAGAGCTTTGCCAGATGAGTTTTATTTTCACTTTTTTCTGCTTGATTATAGGTAAATGTTACATTTTCGGAAGATTGGCGGGCAATAAGCATTCAGTGAGTGAAACAACAAAGCACTCACTTGTGAATTGATAAAGTCCGACTACTGTACTTTTACTTACCTAATTTTCTTGAAATTTGGTTGTAGGGAAGATTAATTTAGATTGTGAAGGCTGCCACTTCTTTTTTTGTATTGTTTTTATTGCTGTTGGTTAGCCAAAATCCTATAAAAATGTTTCTCCTGTTGGATTATTCACAACGTGCAGTTTGAGTAAAAGACTGAGACGGATTCAGGTGTTGATTGGAGTCACCTGGAGCGAATCCTGCTGAAATGCTTCTGATTTGGTTCGTGTTAATCAGGTGGTTTAGTTTTCACAGTGAATACAGTGTTCACATGTTTCAATGAGCAGTTTTTATACTTCACAAACACATCTGTGAATTCTAAGAGCAGGGAAAATGTTGTTTTTATGCATGGCAGCCAGTCACTACCCTGCATTACCTCTGCTTTATGTCCTACCTCCCCGGTTAGGCTGTACTCTGACTTAAAGACAGTCTCCACTTATGAATAGATTAAAATTGGTTAAATTCTTTGTTTAATAGTTTAGAATAATGCTACGTTTTCTTTAAAAAGCATATTTGCAGTGGTGATATGTTTCATCCACCGTATTTCATTATGATTAGTTTTGCATGGTAAATTAATTTTGAGACCCACACGAACTGGGATTGGGGAAGAGAAAACTAAATCCCAAACCATACTTAAACTTTATTTCCTAAACTACCTGAATTGAAAACTTCTGCTTATTTATAGACTTATGGATAGTGACTTTTTTACATATTGAGTAGAATAAAGACAATAAACATAAATTCAAAGCTGGAAAAGATGACTATTTTTTAAATGTCGGTCTATTATGCCTCTCAAATTCTTGGATGAAGGCCATTTGACCGCCGTTTACTGTATTTCTATAAGTTAAGCTGATGTCCTGCTGCATATGTGTGTCTTTTTCCAGGGTGTGGAGAGCATCTGATTCGTACCATGCTGGCTCGGGAATGCTCTGCTGCCATGCAGTCTGAACATGCCCACCAAGCACTGCTGGAGGCTATGCAAAACAAGTTCATCAGTGAGTCACCCACATGCAGCCTGATCGCTGCTGCGTTCCATATACACATTTCTGTTAGCCAAAGAACGTGTTTGTGAGAAAGTCACGGGGAGAATTAAACAAGCAGATGTTTCTTCACATGAGGAGAAAGAAAAACTGGAAACCTTGGAAATAATAGTCAGAAGAGACAACTTTTTGATTTATGGTTCCTTCTCACTGTTTAAACAAAGCTGTCAGATGTTCCTCACATCATAGCTGAAAGCCTCAGATAAATTTGGAAGGCAACATTGTGTTGTTGAATCTTTATTTGAGTATATGATTGCGGTATTCTCAGAAGTGGTCAGTTATAGAAAGCCTTGTTAAGTATGTTCACTATGCCTAGGAATGACCAGTGGGACAGCTCAGAGAGGAAGACGAAGGAACAAATGGAAACACAGTGGTTTGCCTTGATCTGGCCTCTTTAAGCCCGTCCCAGTTTGGCTCTGTAATGGATATCTGTAACACTGAAGACAGGCTGAATGAAGTCACTTTGAAGTTATTTCTTCTGTTGTTTCATTTGATGATGCACATCTAGCTCAGCAAATCTCCATAAATCCTACCTTAGCAGAACAAATGATGACAGTGTCTGTGACTTAATGGGAGTTCAGCGGGAGGCCTACACTGTTGTGGCACTTCAAGAATTTGTCAGGTTCTCTTGAGAAAATGCTGTCTGTGACAACAAACTCACATTTCTTCAAATGCCTTTGAGATGCCAAAATATCTGAATCCTTTTTTCCGTAGCTGTACTTACCTAAATAACAGTCAATGTCATTGCAAAAATGTAACCATATTTACATGTTTACAATAACATGCAATTACTTCAGCGTTTTTTGTAAGGAAGAAGGAGCTTTTCAAAATTAAACAAATAGGATTTTGTCTAAATGTTTAAAAGCTATCAAATACAAATGGTGTCGGAGAGTTATTGGGACATTATAACATGGAAGGAAGGTCTGTGTGAAATTTGAAGGAAAAACACTGGAATGCAGACAAAATATTTTCATCCAACGCACCATTTGGTCCTGTTTTCTCTTCATCGTAAGACATGTTACAGCTGTTTGTAGTTTGTTCTTTCCCCGAACCAAGCTTCTTCCTTTCTTTTCTTTAAACATTTTTATTGCATCGCTCTAATCCCCCAATCCAACTTCAAACACAACACCTCATGGTTGAAATGCAAGCAGAGAGCAAGAGCTGTCCTTACTTAACTCTGAGGGGGTGTTTTAGCCTTGTTTTTGTTTTTTTTCAGAGAATATTGTGTTACAGTAGTGCTTATAGTGTGATGATTTCAAATTACACTAACACTACATCTTATTAAGTTGGCCGCATAAACATAGTCAAACCTTTTAATTTGTCCTGGCAGTCAGCTAATGAAGGTAAACAAATCAGGGCAGAGTAATCTCTTTCAGGTGTTTCGCTTGGCTGTTCAGCCTAATAACCTAAATTGATTATTTTTTCTTATAGACCAGTTTGGTTTGACACTGATTATTGTTTTTTCATGTGCTACATTTGGTTTGACTCTCCAGAGTAAAGCTAAAGGTTTGACGGACCTAACTGATTAATCAGAAGCAGTTTTTGCCCTTTCTTTTAAATGGCATTCATATCATGTTTTAGTAAGCCCAAGTTGTCTTGCTTGTTTGTCCATCTAGGCTCACCGTTTCTGGTAAATGAAGATCGTGTCTTGGGTGGAGTAATTGTCCTGAGGTGCTGCCGATGTGTGGACACTCAGCCATCTCAAAATATTCAGGGTTTATTGGGTAAGACGTTCCAAATTCATGTCAAATTACACTCAAACGTCCTCTGATGATTTTTGGCAAATGTTTGGCTGTGAAAATATGAAATTCTATAGAAAGATAATAGGAAGAGGAGAAGCAGGCGTTCTCGGCAGGTGGTCTGTGTTTTAACCTCAGCAATCAGGCTCTGGTTTCACACCCTTCATCTTGTATTCAAATAGAGACCTCCCACTCCGGAATCAACTACTAATTCTCAGACAAGTGTCTCCCACTAAATACTGCACCGTTTGTCTGATTGTATTGATGGATCTGGTTTCTTTACTTGGTGCTTAAAGAATGTTCCTTATTTTTCCAAAGTAGCTGGTATGGACTTCCACTCGATCTGAGTTCTGTCTTATGACTCATATTACTTTTAGGTTTTGAAGTTATTGTTTACGTTTCTGCTTAATTTTGCCATGTAAAAGTTGCCCATTAAAGTAAAGCAGACCAGATGAATAATAAGAAATGAGTTGGTCAGAAATTGCTGTCAAAACATGGCACCAGTTATAGATTTATTTATGTAATGCATGGTGATTATGTTAGTGATAACATTATCCAAAAGGGCAGTTGCATACAAAGGCCCTTCATATAGTTCAGCCCTGATCTAGAGATGCTTACCAATCCCATCTCTTATGTAGGCCACAGAGCTCCCAATCATCCTGCATGTACCTATGTATTAATGAGTATTCCCAAAGTCGTTGAGGTGAAATTGAAATGTCTAGTCACTAACAAATTGTTTTTAGTCCCTGAACTGTTCTGTTTTATGCTATGAAATCATTAAAAGTAAATCTTTTCATCTCGGTCTTTTCACAGTGGAGTTCCTATGGAGTCACACCACGGAGAGTATGTGTGTTGGCTACATGTCTGCACAAGATAGCAAAGCAAAGGTGAGCTTACCACTTAACCAAAAAATTCAAACTTATTGCACGCTCACTCATAAAATGGGCCGTAATAGTTATAATCAGGCATCACTCAAATTCTTTTGAATAATTTTAAAAGGAAATCTATCCAAATAACTTTTTTCTCTGGTGTACAATAATGTGATATGTCGGATGTTAAAAAGGGAACTTTTATGGCCCTTTTATACCTCATTACCTAAAGCAGTCGTGGCCCAATATTTAGTTTTAAGGGTCATTCATGCATCTCATTGCCATGAAAAAGATATATCGAGACCACCACTAGACTATTTCATGTAATTTTATTTGCATTTATCATTAGAATTTGTCAGTTCACTGGAATTATTATTTTTGGGGTTTGAACTTAAGAATGATTAAAAGATGACAATTTTTTTTTACATAGTGCTCAAAAAGTTGCTGCCATTAATCAGCTCCAAAGCTCAAGAGGGGGAAGCACGATCCCTTTTGCTATTTCAGTGACTCTGCGTTGGGCTTCCATCTCTGAACTTTGATAGATGAACTGATTTTCTTTTTACTGACAAATTTAAGATTTGTGTTTTCGCACCCATTATTTTGAGAGGTAAGAAGTCTATAATTTTGAGTGTGAAGTAGGTGTGGGTTCTTTGTTTGAGGGCATTCCAAAGGCTAGTCTGGTTGGTTTATTTATAAATTCAAGGGAAAGGCTGAACTGCAAATGAGGCATGTCAGGTCTCTCAGGAGCAGAGTAACTTCCTAAGGTTTGGACTCGTTTCCCAACATTTCAATGCATTAAAACCATCTTTTAAAATGTAAATGATTGGGTAATTGTCACTCTTCTAAATGTCAGCCTAACCATTTGGTTGATGTATGCTTCCACACGTTGATGGTTCCGTTAAAAATGAAAATACAGTTAGCTTTTACGTGCATCCTGTAACTTAAACCATTCATTATTGTTTCTTAAGCAAAAGGACTCAATGATTTGGTTTCCTGGCTCTTAGCGGAGTCTGAGCTCTGTCTTATTTGTTTGGATAATGTATCTCTTTATGAAGAGAAGGCACTGTTGTTGAAGTCTGGTTCAGATTTCAAAGTGTTTGCCCTCTGTTGTCTGTCCCCACCCCCTCAACCTTCCTTTTCTCTCACACATGGTATGACTCTTTCATCAGCTCTTCTTTCCAGCCAGAACCTCGTCCTAAGCAACTATAAAGTTTACTGAAAATTATGCTCCAATGGAAGTATCAATATCAATCTGTATATTTGTCTGATGTTCTTGGTGTTCTGGTGGAATTGGAGCGTGCAAGCTCTCCTGTCACTCCTGCGCCAGCATAGACAGTCGAGCCCAACACAGTAAACTGTACATGAAACAACCAAACAGGACTCTTCATTTAACATTTTTAGTTTTGTTCACCTCTTTACCTCATGTATTCATATTTGAAAAATATTTAACCCTGAAACCAGTCCTTCCACATCAACCCATCATCAAGTTAACTTGCAAAAGGATTTTTGCTAAATGAATGTGTTCAGTTGGTGGAGATCTAGGAATATCATCTTTCAGCTGTGATTTCTAGATCTCTTGGGGGAGGGTATCCACTTCCTCTTGAGGGGCCATTGGTGATAGTGATATTAAAGAGAGCCGCCAGCTGCTCCATTCTCCTCACACAGCTCTTTCTGAGAGGGAGCTGCTTATTGTGGGACTCGAGCTGCAAAGCTCTGATGCACCTCTGGGCTTTTGCCATCTGCACACCAGAGCAGCTGGCTGTTCTGTCTGTTATGCCTCCAGACTGGGTGCAAAACAACGCCTAACTCGCTGATCCCCAGCTGGGCCCAGAGCCGTTTTTTCGCTCACAGCCAATGTCCTATCCTTTAGCAGTGCCCAGCATGTGTTTTTCTACAGTTGGTTGAAGTTCATAAGCCAAAGATCTGAAAGAGTGTTAAGGCTCCAGTCATGTCTGCTGGATGCTATGGAGGCCCACAAAGTGGCACCTGTCTACCCATGACCTTGATGATCAGTCCGGGTTCTACTGCAAAGAGAGAGATAAAAAGAAAGAAGTTATGCTTTTGGTACTATAGTCCCCACAGGCATAATCAAGACAAAGGATAATCAGACACTTGAACAGAACAAAGCAGAAAGCAAAATAAATATCGCTGAAGATGGGTTAGAAAAAAACTTAAGACAAATGCACATTATTTTCGTCACTCTTTATTTATTTTCCCTCAAACTTATGTACGTTCACATGCATGTTAGGCATCTTTTAAACGTTAAGAGCATTTTGAACCTACCTCATGTGCAGCTTCAGCTGCTATTCCTCAAACATTCCTCCCATTCCTATTAGCTGGCTATTTCCACCCAGCCAGAGTTCATCTTCCACTGCTTTTCTGTGATAAGGACATGAAAGGGCTGATACACAGTGGCAGGAGTATTTAGGACAGAGGTCAGAGGGACTTTGTATCCACCCATCTTCTCATTAACAGTGCTTGAATACCCAGTTTCATGTCTACATGTTTTATTTTTTAAGAAGAACCTAGAGAAAAGGGAACAGTAGCTCGGTTAAAAATGTGGATTTAAGGTAAAATTGTCAAGCTCTGGCAGTTTTTCTCCTATTTTGTCTTGCCCTTCAATCCAATGTTGTTTTTGTGGAAAGTTGAGTGTGTATCCCATTCTTTTTTACATTACGTTGAAAGCTAACAGCCGTGCTGCTGAGGGGGAGCATCTGGTTCTATTCAGACATTCACCTGTGTTTGCACTGGATCCACATCAGAACATCAAGCTATGTTTTACAGACCTACACAGAGCTGCAGGAACGGGCCAGCGCAACTGGAACCTGTGAGACAGACTATTGTTTCATGATTGTCATGGTCAAAGAGAAAAAAGACAGATGTAGAATTCATTGTACCAACACAGCCCAGTTTCATCCTCCTGGACATCATTTACACAATAAAGATTTTCTGCAAAAATTATGTAAATCTGGAGAAAATCAAATGGCGTGCAGTCCAGGGTTCCTGGTTATTGTCTGCTGTGTACATGTAGCAACAATTGTCTTTTGTTATGGGAGATCTTGTTTTTATTGTTCATCTTGTGAAGAGCATAAATAGCAATGGATTGTCTTTTTTATTTTTCTTTGAGAAAAATGGGAAAACCACAACAAAAAACAACTGCATAGTCATAGAGCTGCATTTATCCTTTGGTCTACACTGTGGTGTTAATATGTGGCTTCTCGAGCTTCGAAAGACATTTGTATCACCAAAGAATGTTGTTTTCCTCAACAGATACAATGGAACGTTGTTTTTTTCATGTATATTTTGACTCAGTCGTTGCCCTGTCATGTGGTTATTTCGGTCATCGGCTAACAAGTTGTCAACAAGCTCAGTGCAGGTTTGCATGCCTTCATATTTTCTTCCGTCTGTCCCAGCTGTTGTATAATTTTGTACTGCTTTGCTCTTCTTTCAACTCGACGATGTTGCTTCCTTAACAAAAAAGACTCCACCATAGATCATTAGGTCAGATGGACACGAGGCACTGTGCAAACAGACACAGTACCTTTAAGTTGGACATCTCGTGTTTGATTTCTGAGCTAGTTTTTTTCAGCCTATGGAGTTATGCTTTTGATTGTACGGCTGTTTTCACCAGTGCACTATGCATTTTCCAAAAACACTCCTGCAGTGTCTCATGTAAGGATACAAATGTCCCCAACATTAACACAGCCTGGGATTTTCTTTACAGCTTCCCAGTAAGTTATACCAAAAAAATAATCAGTGGGGCCCCCATGTGTGAATACAGTTGCAAATCCACCAGAGCATCCACAGTGAGTGTGGGTGCCGGCTGATAAAAATAGCTATCCACATATGCTGACATGGATGAAGCCTCCAGTTACACATACATTTAGTCTCCAAGTAATTAGTTCTTAAAAATCAAAAAGGATAATCAATGAAAACCATCTTCAGCCTATACACTGGGCCCTGTATGATTCTCTCTACATACTTGATACTCCACAGGTGCAGTGCACGTGTGAAAACAGCTCAACAGATGAATGGTCTTCACTTAGGAACATTAATGTAAACGTGACCAGTGTCTCTGAGGCTGAATGCCATCCTTCAAACACTCTGATGGACATAAATGGTGCATATCTTACCTCTGATGAGGTCACGCCGGTACCAGTTAACTATGCCCAGTATTGATTTTCAGCTGTGTATTCAATGTGGAAGGGATTTTGAATATCCCTACAAAGCACTTACCATCTGGCATGCCAGCATCAAACTGAAAACATTTAGCGTGTCACCAGAAGTTGATTATGACTAAGCTACGGACCCCCTCTCAAACAGTTTGAACAAGGTCTTTCTTTAACCTCATCCTTGGAAGATGAAGGGAGGAAGATGAACCCACAGACGTGCACTGGGGCTCATAATGGCCCCTGAGAGTATTGCCATGTGTCTTAAGCCTTGCCTGGCTTATGTCCCATTGTGGTGACAGTTGCCCTCAGGGTGCTCAGGACCCTAGTCTGTGTCCAGACAAAGAAGTATGAGTCGACTTGTGCATCTGGAGGAGTGATGTCAGGGTCAGTCGACTGCCTGGTTAATAACTGGATGTACTGTTCCCCCGTTCCCCCTTTGGTTCTGTCTCTGTTAATACCGATATACAATTTGGACCTATAAAAAACACAATTCGACAATCAAAATGCAAGTTTACCCCTCTGAGGTTACAATGATTAATATAATCATTTACCCCTCAGAGATTGATGCTTTGGCAGGTTACTTGTGTAGAACCAACCAAGCGGTAGGGTGTGTTGTGGTGCCCCCAGTCTCCATGATGGCTGCCTAGTAGCAGGGCTGCAGTTCGAAGCACTTTGGGATCAGGTTTAAGGAAATCTGAGGGGAGATTTGTGGAAGGGTTACCTGGACGATGTTTTGATACTGATCTTTTCAACTCATGTCTTGTTACTTGCATCTTTTCTCATTTTATGTGTGTGTGTGTTTTTTTTTTTTTGTTGCCTGCAGACACACATATCCAGATTACCACCTGGGACAGTTCCTGGACAGTCTTTGGCCATAGAGGGAGGGGTGTGTCGGCTGATGGGAGTAGTGGAATGAACCCCATTCTCTCCAACCTCTTTTTCTTCCTTCTGTGCTTCTTCAGCAATACTCCCACACAAACTGAACTCATGCACACACATGCACAGCACCCTTACCTCCCCACAGTCTTTATGATGGCAGAGGTAATAAGCTTTTACTGTTTTAACAGGTGTTCAGGAAGCAGTTGGGAGCGTTAGCTTCTACTTAGTGCACTTACAGAACTTCCCTTTGGGCGCTGTCTGCCTCCAGCATGCACTCATGCCAGTTTACCCCCACAGGCTCTCCAGTGCCACCTGGATTAAACCATTTTTCTTTTTGTTTCCAGATAAAAAGAGACATCTTCCTTTTTGTACATAAGCTATGTTTTTGGGAAACAGGGTGGATGTTCAGTGACTTTGTGTCACTGAACAGATGTGACTGTTTTTAGATTTTTAGTCATTTGAAGTGCAGGACCTTATTTTGCTCCTAAAAATGCTTTTCGATATTAAAAAGATGACAGATTGCACCTTGTATAATGCCTACTACTTAAGGTTGTCGCCATGAAGAATTTGTAGCTGTGAGGGTTGAGCAGTGAAGATAAGTCATTGTAACATAACTAAATCAACTTTAATATCTTTGTACTCAAGCATACCGTACAATGTAGCATAATGTGCATATTAGATCATGATATATTTCTATAATCATTGATGCTTTGCTCCTCGTTTAGGAAATGCAAATACACAGCTACTGCAGCTACAGTAAGACAACTCTTTTTCCTGAAAGTTGTTGAGTTGATCAAGGATGGGGGGGTTAAGGGTTAAGGGACTTATGTTATGCTGTTACAGCACGATGCTCATAAACACACACACACACACACACACACACACACACATTTTTGTATATATATATGATTGTCTGAATGCTCAGGAAGCAGCATTGTTATCTACACCCTAAACTTGATTGTTATTCATCCTGTAAAACCTACACTTTATATTTTGGTTCCCATTGGCAGAGATACATTTTCTCTATAAAGAGACATACTTATAAATTAATGTATGCATCAAGGCCATAAAATGGTGCTGTTGAATTTTACTTGAAAAGAGTAGTTTTCCGTTGGGAAAATGTTTTTTGCTTTTTCACTTAGATTCAAAGAATTTGTGTCCCAGCACAAACACAGTTGACTCTCTTAATTGTTTACGAAAATTTGCAACTGATATGAAATGGTCATACTTGCACCAGTCTTCTGCAGTGCTATGAAGTTAAATAAAGCTTATGTTGCTATATCCTTGTGTTTGTTTTTATTTGAATACATATGTTTTCAGGTTTCCACATGAACTGCTCACTTGAAAATCTGATCTTCGAATGAGATCAATGTCTGAACTTGGCTATTCCGTATTAACCTTTTTCATTTTTTATCAGTCACTTAGTACTTAATTTAATCAATGGGAAAGTTTAGTTTTGAGCCTTCCAGATAAATAGTAATGAAAAAAATTGATAAACTCCATCTACTTACTGTCTACTTAAAGGTACAAACACACATAAAACATTTGTACACAGCTATATAATTTCATGCTTTAAGAGGTTAAAAATTATTTTACTGTCATGCGTCTTTTATCTATGGTGTGTTAGTTAAATTTTTTTATGAACAAGTATTTCAAACCAGACAGCTGTCCTTTTTTAGTCGTTTCATAGCCATCTGACCTTAGTTTGATTTTTGGAGTCCATTCACAGGGAAGTGAATGTAACCTTGTTTCTAATCACGCTTACGGCCACCATTCTCCTGAGACACTATTATGTGTTATTATAGAGCTGTCACTCTTTATCTGTGCTTCTGGACAACTGTTCCCCACTCTGCAAAAAAGCGACCACTTCAAACATCATCCTTCTGGATCCCCTCGACTTTGAAAGAAGATCCCGGGTCTTAAAAAAATGGACCAGGTCCGGTGCCATTCAAGGTGCATCCATTGCTTTTTCACTAAGCAAAGCTCTTAAATACGAAACAGACGGTGAAGCAAATAAAGATCAAAGGCAGCAGCCTTGCCTGTCTGCCCCGCTGTCCTCACATGCCAAGCGGGGCTGTCACTGTGAGTCACGGCCATGCAGCTTCCGTGCTCATGTCAGCTCCCCTCCCTCTCACCAGCTCAGAGCCACCAGCCCCTCTGTACAGTCACACCAACACACTATAGCAGAGTAGGAAAGAGACAGTGTATAGAGCTCCACTTGTCAGCCCACGCCAGAATTCCACCACTGTCACACTAGTTAACACAGACTTTTGGACGCAAATTAGAGCTTTTCCCTGTGGTTGTTTCAGATCCCGAGTACTTGTCTTTCTGCTGTTTACATAATCATTGAAACTATAATTTCCGCACCATGTTTTGTGGATTTGAAAGAAAGTTTTCCTCCTAAAAGCTCCTTGTTTGTCCACTTACTTCTGTTCGCACATGTTGCCAGCCGAGAATAGATTGACTGAATAAATGTGATACTGACAATGCAAGTAAGATGTGCATGCCCTTTACACTGAACTCCAGAAGTTTGAAGAGACGCCTCTAAAGAGGCAATGCTCTCTGTGTAGTGGCATATGTCCAAGAGAAGCTGAGCTTTCAGTTATTTAGTCTGTCATTGTTCTGCCGTAGATGGTGTAGCTGGTGTAGACCCACAGAGTCTCAGCGTTAAGTAAGGCAGCATGCCCTCTCAGATGTTCCACATGTACTTGTCCTGTTTGTTCAGCTGCACATGCAGGCGTATTTGCCCACCGCCCCCATGACCTACTCCTCCCCTGTGTCACTTTGCGAAAGACACAAGCCTATGGCAGGCACAGCGCCACTTGCACGGCCCCCTGTTTTGTCAGTAAAGTGAATAGGGTAGGTGGCTGCTAGATAAGCAATCCCCCCAGTCCAGCTCCACTCTTTTGGATTAGAAGCCAAAAGAAAAACCTTTTAATTAGGTTTGCCATACAGTTATGGCCCTGCGGTATTGTGGGCCAGACACTTCCTGGATTGTGCTACACCACCCATAAAGTATAAACGCAAGAGAGGGAGTGAAAGAAAGTGAGGGGGGGAGGCTAAAAATGGCTCTGCCACATCTGCACCACACCACAAAACAAGGAGATGTGCGATTGCCACTTTGCAGCGTTCTCATTTACCCCGCGAAGCATTCACCGTCAGCTCCAGAAACAACCACCTCAACTTGTTTCCATGTTAACTATTTGTTCCACCTTAGCCGCTGAACCCCAGGGCCTCCTTAGGTCTCGGTGTTCATCAAAAGCATACTGGTTTGTTCTCCTCTTTAACCTAATTTGTTTTCTTGATCCTACAGTCGGCTCTTTTTTGGATATCTGCTGACAGTTCAGACAGCACTGTCAAACTCAAATTCAAAACTGGGTTAGTACATTGGTAAAAAATCTCCCTCTCACAACCAAAATAGAGGCAAAATACCAAAAATCATATCTTAGTGATGCTTAATGAGCCCTTTCGAATCCTTGACAATACACCACTAATATGGTGCTTTCAAGTCTTTGAAACAAACCAGAATGCAGTCCTGGAAATAGTAACACAAAAGGGAGGCCCCGCAGTTAACACAGCGAGTCTTCTCTGCCAGAAGCTGGCCTACGGTGTGTCAGCCCGTAGTCTGCATTTCATTCCAAATGCATTCTTTGGCTTGAAAGGTCTTCCTACCAATGCTTTTGTTAAAAGAATTTCAGTGACAAGTTGTGCTGCTACTGGCAGGGGAAGGGCGGCAAAATGAGAGGTGAAAAGTGAGGAGGGTGCGCACAAGTAATTGCCTGTGCTCAAGACACGTGGAGCCTGTCTGGAGAGGAGATACTTGGTGGGGGTGGGGGGGGGGGGGGGGGGGGGGGGGGCGGGGGTAATGGAAGTATGTCATCAATTTTAGCTTGGCACTAATGTTTCAAAATAAAGAAGAACTTCTCACTTTGATCTCCCCGGCCTGTTCAGCAGATGCTATGCTCAGATAACCATCCATGCTGGTTACTTTAATCTCAGCGTTAAACCATGCTTTAACTCAAAGGATGAAAAAGCAGACCTTAACACAGTGCAGAGGGTGGAGGGGAAACACACAAAAAAGAAAGTACCTGTTAGATTTACAGTGAGTTGTTGAGGGTGCGATGTTGACAAAAGGCAGTGTTTGGGATAAATGGGCCTATAGACGCCCAGGAAGGAATTTTGTGTGACTAGGGAGACAAATAGATGGTTGCAAGTGCCTCAGGGTTGCAAGACGTGCTGGGACCTGCTGCATTGTAATGACGAGCCCTGCACTCGGCCAGCTGTGCAGCACACAAGACGGCAGGAATGAGGGCACCATGAATGGCTTTCTCTGTGTGACAATAACTGCAGCACTCGGTGAAGAGGGAATGGTCAGAGGTTCCCTGCAAGCAGTGAGTGTGTATGAGAGCATGTGTATGGAGAGAAATTACTCAGGAATGTGAGGATGCATGCCAAAGACAAAGAATTTGAGTCACATTCAGGGGAACTTTACTCTCCTCGCCCACTGAAGAAATATCACAACCCCATCAAAGGACCCGGCCTAAATGTCCCGCTGATGGAATCTAACAGAGAGAGTACGCATTTCCGGTTTAAGACTGCGGAGTCCCCCCTCTCCCCTCTCCCCACCCCCTCACCCCATCATCCGACACAATCCTTGACTTTAAAAAAATTTATTCATAGATTTATATCTTAAAAACCTTTCTTACAGTTAAATTCAAACATTCTTTATGCTCTATTGTGATTTATCCCTAACTTGAGAGAGACATGCACAATGATGGCTAATCATGAACAAGAGAGGAATCTCAAATGAGGCATTCAGGCATAGGCGTGAATGGGACTGAGAAGCCCCAGTCATAGACACAACCTTGGCACAGCTACAATTAAATAAATACTTTACAAAAATAATGCAGACTTTTTACAGTGAAGAACTGCCTCAGAGACACAGTTAAATTAAAGAGGTAAAATATGGAAATAAAAATGTGCATGCTAAATAAACATATCCAAAGGCTCACATAAAAACCTTGATATTATGACTGACAAAATAAGGAAAACTGGACAACCTTGTTCTCTGTCCCCCTCCCCTTAAACAGTCCGGATGGATCTCATTATTCTATTAACACAGGCCTCTCAGATTCACCAAACATAAAGAACCTACAGAGACAAAGCAGGACACAATCTAAGTGAATATTTTCTATTGAAATGAGTTTCCCTTTAGAGGATTTGCAGCCAGTGTTTCCTTAACTGGCTCAAATCTGAGCTAAGCTATGCAGCTATAAAAGTGGCAAAGATTCAGAGCCACGTTCTTAAAATATGACATGGCAACGTTATGTGCTTGGTTTTGTTTGTCTTTCTTTGTTAAACATTTTAAAATAAGCCTTTCATAAAAGCCTAAAGTTAATTTTATCTGACCTAAAATACCATATTTGTGGTTTAGCTGAACATTTAAACTGAGTTCTCTTTTTATCCCTTCATTCTACATTACACTAGAATTCCCTTGCTTCTTCAAATTGTTTGTAGTAGTCCTCATCCAAAGGATTGTCTGGACACTTTTGCCCATTGTTTGGCGGCCTGGCTTGGTTGTAGCGGCTCCAGTCTCCTTTGCAGATGATCCAGGGCAAAATGTCCACCTTGTAGTGCAGGTCAGCAGAGAACTCTGTGCTAATGAGGTTGGGTGTGCCAGCACCTTTGCCCCGAGTGATAAGTTTCATGTTGTCGTCGTAGCAGCAGTGTTGTGCGGCCAGCGTGGTGGACTCGAGGGTCAGCATGGAGCGGATGCAGTAGCGGGCTGTCGGCTTGTAGATTTCAAGTTTCTCTTTTGGCCCGCTGGCATCTTTCCACCGGAAATCTCGCTGCGTGGGGGCATCGTGCACGTCTGCCGTGCTGTACGCCACCTCGGTCGGATAAGCACAAGGGCAGCTGGGAAGGTCGTTAGCCACCTTGGTCATGTACTTTTTCAAGAAATCGCTCTTGCAGTTCATCCATCGCTCGCAGCTGTCTGTGTCTGGAAGAAACGGAGATCTTCATCAGATGCTATTCAGCTTTTAAACACTCTCAAACGTTTAGGGGCAAAACCCTCCAATGTGATGGGGGCACATGTTCAACATGAAGGTGTGTTTTCACTGCAGATTTTGAGGACAAACAGATAAAAAGTGGGTGGCAGCCATGCTCCTCTTGCCCTGCTGCACATTTCCATTACTAAACAGTAATGGGGCATGAAGAAAGTGAAGCATTTGCAAGAACACTACCAAATGGATGAACCGCCTTTGATTTTGCAAGTATGTCTGAATGAAGGATAGCATGGTGTACAACAAAAGCAGACAGAATCTTACCAACACCAAAGAGTTCTGTGGCATTGAACTCATTTGTTCCAGCTAAAAGGCTCACTTCAGTAGCTGCTGTCTTAAAGGCATCTTCAATACCTTTGGGAAGATCAAACACACAGTGAAAGGTGGAAGAAATTAAGGACTGCTTCATCAAAACATTGACTTTGAGTATTTGCATATCCATTAATACTGACTTTACTGACTTAGATATACTTCAATAAAGTGTGCCATGGCAAAAACAAGATTTTTACCTGGACAGTTGGGCATATCGCAAGTTCTAGACTCCGTGGCTGTGCAGGCATAACCACAAGACCTGGTTCTCTTCTGGTTGCCATTTCCACATGTGACGCTGCATGCGGACCAGATACTCCAGTCTCCCTCTCCATCAGAGTAGTCTTGGATCAGAGAGAATGAAAGAAAGATCCTAAGCTCTGATGTAGACCACATGCTGAACTTACCCAGGCCTGTTAGCATGCCTCACTAATAATGAGTGGGGTTAGGAAATGAAAAAAAAGAGGTGGGACAGCAGTCTTTTGACTTTGCAACTCAAAGCAGATACCACCTAAGTCAAATGCAAAGGGCACAGTATGGTTTGGTTACTGAGGGGTCTGAAAGCCATTTAGCATCTTCAAACAAAGCCACGATTGTCAGATAATATCATATATTATGTGGTCAGACATATGCAGAGTGAAATGGCAGAAAGATCCTCTTAACTTTAATTATCACTGAACACATTACTGTAACATGTATACTCGATATGAAAACAGTTACCATGGGTATCATCCCCCTCCACCACCATGATTGCTATACTTAAAACATTGCACACAGCACACCATTAATGAAAATAATTAATATGAGCATTTTGGGAAGGAAGTATTCCTGGCTTTGGTCCAAACCATCCTACACACCCCCCTCCTTCAATCTACCCCTCATTATGAACATTTTGTATAAATTCAAGGTACACAGCACTCCCCAAGCCCCTGCTTCTGGTGCAGTTCATGGAGGAGGTGGCAGCATCAGAACTGAATGCATCAGCAGTGTCCTGTGATGGAGGAGTGCCCCTGTCTGTCCCCAGTTATGATTATTACATCTAAACCTAAGACAATTATACACATGAAATATTTCCCTATCCATCAGCATGGTATGAAACAAAAGAACACTGAAAGCTGACCATAGTGATAAGCCAGAAACATTTAACATGGGTTATGGCTTTACAAACCATATCAAATTTCCCTCTTAAATGCTGTTGTGCACGGATATAAAATGCCATTTTTCATAGCTTTCACATTCCTATTCAGCCATGTTGGTTTGGGCATGCTTCAACATGGGCCACACTGTATGACAGTGAGCGAAAATTCTTTTACAGCAGATTTATCTGTGGGGTTACGTTGTGTGAATCATTTGGAAGCCAAAGAGCGCTTCCTGCTACGCATCTGAACTTTTATTATATTGTGAGGCGTCTAAACTGTGAAATGATGCTAGCACCACAACCCTGAGAAACACATCCCATAAAAGAGCATTAAAGGCATCAGTCAGGGGCTCAAAAGGTTTGCCTGGGACAATTGCATTTCTTATGGTGACAGCTTTAATCAGCAAATCCGAAAATGATAGACGGTCCACCTCAGACCGTGCCCCTCTGTGCGCCAGTGTTCAAATATGAGCCTGCGGAGGGAAATATCCCTCACGCACTCACCACCTTCATGTCACTCTCACCGTATTCTGGTTGAACCTTCTTTCCCCTCCTGTCCCAGTTTGATGGTGGCCTGAGGAAGTTGCTGTCCTCGTTTTTGCTCCCATAGCTACGGTCATGCTCCCCTGTTTGATGGGTGGATGAAGACGAAGAGGATGAAGAAGTGTGAGGCCACCAGTTTCTCCAGTTCGGAGAGGCCCAGTTAGGCTTGCTTTCCTTTCGGAGGCCTTTCTCTGGTTCGTGGCCCTCTAGTTCATCCACCACTTCAATGGTCACCTGTGTTAGGAGAGCACAAATGTTATCGTCTATTCATCATCATAGTTTTTTTTTTTTAAACTGGAAGCAGAAAGGTGGCACTATCTGCTACCCCTTCACCCAACATCTCCCCCTTTCCTTACTATTCTAACACATGTGCCTCCCAGATGAGGGGGGGAACCCCACCCCACCCCACCCCTGCCCAACCATCACCCTCCCACCTCTTGGGCTCTCTCCACCTAAACACAAAGTTCAAAGGGCTACACAGCCTCCTCCAGACCATGAAAGCCAGATGAATCCAGGGATCAAAGCCACCCCCTCCCTCTCCTCCCTTGCTCCCACAGCCTCACGCCCTTGCTCAATTGGTTGCTTTGCTCTCTTCCCACATCTTGAGATGTTAATACACTTTGTTCATGCTCAAATGTAGCAGTGATGCCCTAAGAAATGGAAAGACCCCCTTGCTGGATTAGACAGGAGAATAACTCAAACATGGCAGCGGTTTCTAAACCATCTGCATCACTCAGGGACTTTTGGCCAAGAGCTGGCCACAGATTTGCATAAGCTGTCGGCCATGTTCCTGCACACTGGTTATTAACAAGGCCTGAGTGGCCACTCTGTGCCATTCAGCTGTCATTATGACTATGTGGTGTCTATCCGTCCACTAGTGTGACAAGTGTGAAAAGGAACAAGGGGGGGAAAAGGAAGAAGGAAGAAGAGGAAGAGAAAAGGTGTAGTGATGTGCACCAAATCGTCCCCCTTCCTCTTGTTTGCTCTTCCTGTCATGCATGCTTCAGTAGCCAGCAAAAGTCAGCAAAAGCATCAAAGTGCAATGGCAGGTGCACAGGCCCACAGTCACCTGTATGTTGGGGTTCTGCCCATTGAGATCAGCTTTGGACAGGTCTGGGAAATTGTGCAGATCTAGGAGAAAAGCTTCAGGGCCGTCCCTGTGTACATTGCTGCCTTGTGCCCAGGGGAGGATTGCAGGCTGATGAGCCAACGTGTGCTCTGGACCAGACCTCCGATCTTTAGGAACCACTTGGGAAGAAGAGCCACTTCTGGTTTTTGTATTTTTGTACTGAGGAGAGAAAGGAACATAATTTAAATTCATTTATCATGATATATGAGAGAGTTTTGGTACAGACCATTTTGCATTAATTTGAAATTCCGGTTGGCCACAGCTTTAGATTTATTTTTCATGTTGACAGAGGTTCATGTGACCATGACCTTAGTCATAAATTCTTCGGACAGTGGATTGTTGACTGAAAGCCCAGAAACAAGTCAAGGAAGCAGTTGAATTATCACGGCGAGTTCTCTGTGTTTATCTGATTCAGCTTAAATACTGTCTTTCCAAAAGCTGCATTCAGATACATTGCCCCAACTGTATTACAGCTTATATTTTCCCATTTCTAACTATAAGTTTCCTGCTGTTATACCACAGTATGTTGAGAACATATATAGAATGTTCTAGTGCTGGCAGGAAAACAGCTATGTAACACTGAGGGTTTTCCTGCGCTGGGCTATATGGAGAAACCTAAGCAAACATAGCAAAATAACTACATTTGCCTTCTTGAAGGCAGAAAAACATTTGGTGTTCTGACAGGAGTGCTGTAAATCTATCCCTAAATGACAGCTGAGGCGTATGTCCTCTATCAGGTATGCACAGAAGGAATAATTATTCCTAAATTGGACACGCAGACATAAGTAGCTGGCTGTCATCCATTCTAGGGTGGCAGAAAATAAGATCAAACAAAGGCATCAATCATGTTCCTTGTTTTCTTTCTTCATGTTCCATTTCTTCCTCACCAGTGTTTTTGTGGCCAGGCCGAGGCCTGAGAATATGGAAGCTGTGTTGCACGGTTGCGGTGGCCAGTCACAGACAAAGTGTCAGCTCGGCCACATTGTGGTGGGTATAAAAGCCCCCAGTGGAGCTGTTTGGGTCGAACCAAGGTGCACTCCGGGGCAATATAGGCTCAGTAAATGGAGCTGCACAGCATGGGAGGAAGGATTATAAATGTACATGCAACTTGTATTCAGTGGCTGAAGGGACCAGCAGCTGCAACTCTTCATTCGTCATTCAAAACCAGAGACCAGATGGACTTAATATGATCATTTTTGAGAATGTACAAACTTTCACAGCGCATTTTCTAATGTCAGAGTATGCTATAATTAAAATGATTATACACCCAACCATAATTTTGGAGAGAAGGGTGGATGGTTCTGTAGCAACCAAATAAAAAGGAAAACAAATTTCTTCGCAGACAAGACGATGAGTTCTTTATGAGAATTTATGCTCAGACTTATCATTTGAGGGGGAGAAAGATTCATAAAAACAAGATTCCAGTTAAAACCAAAAATACCTTGTTTCTATAACCACACACTTATGGCTCGGAGCTGAGAGAATGAAACCTTTCAGAAGCACGGTTGGTGCACTGCTGATCTGCTCTTTGTGAACATCACAGGGCTCTCTTTGCTTCTGTCACAAGTACTTGGACTTTGAGATGCCCAGGTGATAACCCTGCCTCTCAAGTTCCCAGTCTTCAGATTTCACTCAGTGGCTGTAATTGAGCTCCGCTGAGGGAGCAACCCCAACGGAGCATTCATAGGTTTAATGTGAACGCGAACACAACACAGGTGTTTCATGTCGGTGGCTTATATCATTAAAGGTACGTTTTGTGACTGGAGGGATAAAGGTTTACATAGTAGATGATAAGTTTCAGCATTTCCTTTTAAATATTCCGTTGGAAAACATGGAACCGTCACAGGTTTCAGTGTTGCAACAAAATAAGATAAAATCACAGGATCCGATCACGAAATATGAAAATTGGAATACTACTGCCAGTTTTTACCTTTAAAAAAAAAGAAACGTAACAGATTATAAAAACTGGCAGAAATTCCTCTCACAGCAGGCCGATTAATCTTTCAATACTCTCACACACTAATCCTATCAACTGTAAATCACATAATGTGACATAGTTTGTTGTTATTATAACTGTAAGATTATTTAATCTTGAAATTAATTGAATTTATTCAAATTCATACTTAATATTCTAGTGAAACTTTCACAAATGAAGGCATCTACTAAGATGAAGCCTGGCTCTAAAAAAACAGTTTGTCATTTAAAGTGCAAAAACAAATCATCATTTGAGCAGAACTAATGTGGTTTGTATTTAAGCTATACAGTATTTTTCTAATAGGATACAAGGGCTTGTGGTGACAGAGAACTGCCCGTCACCTAATGCCTGCTAGGAAAAGCTCAGGCCAACCTTCGATTCTACTAGGAATAAGCAGTTTAGCAGATGGATGGATGGGTGGGTCGGTACACTTTCTAAATATAAAATCGGACAATGTAATTCGTATTGAAATTCATTGCTGTGTTGAGCCATGTCTGAGCCACATCCCCAGATTTGTGTTTGGTGAGCTGCAGATTTACCCACTGTACACTGCTAATGAGGAAACTATTTAAATTAAATGCATTAAGAATGATAACTATATTTCTGTTCTCTCCCGGCCACTGCATCTGCCTGGGGAAATAGGAGTCACTTTGGCTTACTGGTAACCATTTGCCTTGAAAAACACCAACATTAACTGTGGCTGTTATTGAAAGCCGTAAACTAACCAAAGGAAAGGGAAGAAAGGTGTTTATTAAAGCTTATACCACAGAAAATGGTCAGAGTTAGAGACAATGTGACATCAGACAGGAAATCTACTGATTGCTAGTTATGTAAAGCCTGTCAGCTCCTGATATCAGCATCTCTCTGTGTTTCCAAACAAATCACTGTGGAGTTTGGAACACAGGTTGATGAGAAAAATATTGAGTGTGTGTGTGTGTGTGTGTGTCTCCACCTCAGTTACAAACAGATCTTTCAACAATGCACATGAAAAACCTAATTTAAATATTAAATAATCAACCATGCTTTGCTTTGATGGCGGGCTGCTTTACAGTCCCCATCGCTCATCTAAGAGGAACATGCTTTAATTTGGAGATCAAAAGTGACACACCAGTCCTCAATTCATTTGGGGCCTCCCAGGATGCCCCCCCCCCCCCCCCCAAACCCACTTCCAAAAGCCATGAAAGAACACTTGCACACACAAGCCACCCCCTTTCCCTCCTCACAGTATCTGCTCTTCTTTCCCCGCTTCCCCCTTTTTCACTTTGTGAAGAACTGCTTAAAGGGGCATGACTCTATTTTCAATTGGGAGCAACACAGGGGTCCCCCCACCCAGGGAGGCTGACAGGAAATGAATGCAGACCACAATGTGGCAGATGCCTTTTAGCACAACAATTCATGTAGATGGAGGATGAAATCATCCTTATCTTGTCACACACTTCATCCTGTGTGTGTAATTGTTTATACATCTACTTAAAGCCATAATAAACATAAGTATTTTACTAATCAAAAGATATTAATCTGAGATACATTTATATCGAAATGGATTAACTTTGTGCACAATTAGCACAAATTTGGCATCGTCACAGAGACTGAACAATCTCCTTCTTTTGTCAGAGAGGATGATGGGACCCCCATCCACTTCGGGTGCACGGAGCTACATCCAGGCGTTTGTCTTGTTGTGAACACCAATTTAAATATTACACTTTGGGACAACAATTCGTGTTGGTCTGGACAAGCATGACTGAAAGAGGACCTCACCATCTCCAATGTAAAGTTATTGAAGCATATATCTGCATATGGACAAGTATTAATGAGAAAAGAAAAAAAAAATTCAAGGGTCATATCAGACTTCATCACTCCAAAGAATTTCAAAGTAAACCTGGACGAGTGACAAAGAGGATGTTGAACTTGGGATGGAAGGTGTGTGTTTAGTTATTCTACTTTGACTCCTCAGGAGAAATTCCCTGCTGCTCCTCATCCTGCGCATCCAAGTCAACATTTGGCCCAGTGACAAATATTCAATAAATTCCTGGAATATTTCCTCAGCTTTGCATGCCCTAACATCCATCAAAACACAGGCTTGCATATACACCGGCAGGTCCACAGTGATGGCAGATTTTTTTTTAAAGACTCACTATATACAAAACATGTTTGGATTCATCCCCCTGAGCTTTAATAAGATATTTATGAGAAGGACATCATTCCAGTGAGCATGCATACCCATTTATCACTGGGAGAGGAAGACGGTTTCAGTAGTATGCTATATATACACATCAAAAAGCAGCTGAAGGATGCTTAACACTCTAAAAAAAATCTGCTGATCCCAGACCTGTCGTAGCCCTGGGGGCAGGATTTAGATTTCTATTAGACTATGTGTGAGCGAGATGCTGCTGATAAAACTGGCAGTTAAACACATTTAAATCATCTCAAGTGGTCTCAAGTTAGTCTACCTCAAGATATTTATTAGTTTTCCGACTGAAGTCTTCAAACTCAACAGGAATCCATCTGATCAAGTTGTGTGGCACCTAAGCCTACTGTGTGATGAGGCTCACACTTGATCAGGATCAGAGCAGGATCAGTTTGATGTCAGGCTAGTCTACAAATGCAGCCCAGGAGATCTTGGGATAAAAAAAGGTGCATTTTCATTTTCTCCTGATGATAGAGATGTGCCTGCAGCTAGCGTTGAACCCCTAACAACAGGGAGGTGTGTTTGGTGTGGGGGAGCTGATCTCTGACCCTGGATCATCTTCCTTCTCTGACGACTCATCACCATTTCCAGGGGGACACTTTTGGCACTCTACATCCATGCCTATGCCAAATCCTAAACACTCCCCATGAGCCGGATGGGAATGGAGGGTTTAATTTAGCAAACCTGTGTTGCTTCCTCTAGGAAGCGTTATATCTGTTACCGGACGAGACCTCTTAGATAGTTTTGCATCAAATTTCCTCCAAGAAATCCACCTCAAAGTCAGCACCCCACCAGTGACTGATTTCTAAACTCACCTCTGGAAGTGCTGCGTCCTGATCCAGGCTCAGAGTTGCATTTCCTTGAGGCAGCGGATTGCTGCGCAGCACCGTGATGTGCAGAGTGAGCAGCAGGAGTCCCAGGAGCAGCAGCACTTCTGCCGCCAGACGCACCATCCTCCTGACGCGGCCGCTCTTCTGCGCGAGCGCTGTGGCCGGAGCCTCGACCCCGCCTCCCCCCCGGGCAGGGACTCCAATCTCCGGATCCGCCGGGGACGAGGAGTCGCAACACCACTTCGGAGCCACTTCGGGAATCAGAATTGCAAATTTGAGGGGAAACGGATCGTGGAGAGGCAGTCTGGTGATTCGTGTCTTGGGTTAATTTGGATCCAGAGCGTTTTCTTTGTAAACGTGGATAGTGTCTTGAATAATGAATATTCATATAGCTTTCATTCAGGCCTAATGGGATGGTTGAAAAGTCAGTTGTGAGGTGCCAGTGGAAACCGCCTGCAGAGCTGACCCAGCGCGCAGTGCCAACACTTTCCGCTCGTGGTGCGCCCTCGTCAAACCTCCAGTCTCAGGAAAGTTGCTGCTGCTGCCCTGTGCTGTCCCCGCCACATTCTCAGCCTCATACCACAGGTTTCTTCACTTCCACTTCGTCCGCTTTGCACATGTCTTGCTTCGTCCACATTCTGCGAGACCTAATCCAGCGCATTATTCTGCACAAAAACAAAACAAAATAAACTTCTATTAAAAGCACAGGTAAAGCTGGTTAAAAAGAAAAACCTTTCGAGATAATTCTTCGCAGCAGGGGTTCAATCTGCTTCAGTAGCTATTCATCCATTGCTGAGGACTGTGGGCTTACAGGAATAAAGACACGGGTGCCTCCTACGAGTCCTGCTGGAGGAAACAAGTCAAACCATATCAGACTGCGCCTCACTCAGACACACGCTGCTGTTGTTGTGTGCTCTTGAGGTGGTTTTATACATGACGCCCCCGTGCTGGCGCCCTCCCCCTGATTAACTCTTTCGTCCCTTTGAACCAGTCCTCACCACGCCGGAGTGCGTCAAACACTGGTGACCGATGAAGAGGGCTCCTGCCGGGAAATGATTCTGTTCCACTTAAGAATACGCGCCCGGGCTTTGTGGTTACTTTAAAAGTGTAAAGTTTCGAGGTTCTGTGGAATTTGAAAAAGAAAGAAATAAGAGTTTTCAACCTGTCTGCAAATACTGACTTAATATAAACTAAGTTTAAAACATGTGTGGTCTCACAATCCGGATCACCTGGTGTCCGTGGATGCGCGCGGCCATTCCAGTGCGTCACTGCGCAGGGACAGAAACCTTTGGGCATGCGATCTGCCTTATACTTTGACTTAGCAGAATAGCAGCCTCTTCAATCCCAGAAAAACGGAAAGAGCTGCAACACCTCACTTGAGGAAGACAAATGGTGCTTAATGTGATTAGTCCTGAGAGACTTTTCATTGTCCTCTTCAAAGGTCAGGCCACTGTGTCAAATTATGCACCAAGCAGGGATGTTGCTGCCTCTTCACAGGACGTGTGACAGTTCACTGAGCCCCGAAATGTCTCACCTGATTGAAGTCTCTACATTCACTCAAAAGTGGGACACCACAGGCTTTCCACTTCTGAGAAGAGCCCGGGGGAGAGTAAGATGGAACAATCCAACACCTTTGAATACCCTGCCTAATAATGATGGTAACTCATTAAGAAGATACAAACTTTTTCAGTCCAAATACAGCAGACCATCAGATGATGCGATTCTGAGGTCTCACTTGTGTAAAAATACACAATAAATGCTTGAATTCTTTGGTCGACCCAGTTATGCTCCCAGATCTTTAGTCTTACTGCAGTTGTCCAAGCCATGCAAATCAGTGCTTTGTCTCTTTCACTTCAAAACTCCCTCTCTAGAATTGGAAAATCTCTCTCTAAATGGAAAACAGAGGGCAGTGAGAGTGACTTCCATGCTTTGGACACAGTGGTGGACATCAAAGGCCCAGCAAAGGATCCCCCTTCAGAATAGCAGCTACATGCCATTCCAATAAGTGCAGTGCATTTGGATCTGCAGTTCAAAAGAGGCTGGTGCACGCAGGCAGGTCTCTTGGGGGGCGTACGACCAGTAGTTTGGCTGCACAGATGTTTCGAATGCCAGTGCAGGCCATTTGCCACTTCTGCTAAGGCTGAAGGCAATTACAAATGATTAGGTTTAGATAACTGTAGCAAGGCTGGCTCTTCCCACTTTGCCTGACCGCCCTGTGCATAATGTGTCATTTTACCTGGCCAGTTTAAAAGTGGCACCTCTGAAGTAGAGCGTGCTGTGGAAATACTCTAAATGTTGTCAATGTTGAACTGCTAGTTGCACTTTTTTAAAGTCTAACATCAGAGGAGTCGTACCAATTTCAGCAGTCTCTAAATTGCTGATGTAGAAATCATGACTGCTAACTTAATGATGAACTTAAAAAATACTCATCCTCCTCATTTTATTTGAATAAATGTATTCTCATGTATTTAAAAGAAATCCCAGAACATTTACACACCCCATATCAGTGAGAAACTTGCACGTTAGAGAATAAATTCAAGTGTTTCAGCTTCACTTTACACACATCTGCTTTCTGCCATAAAAACACACAATCAGACTTACAGTGTTCACATTTAGACTAAAGGTGAGGGTAAACAAAAATTAATAGCACACATCCGGAAGACATTAGTGCACCCTATTGCAACATACGAGGCCACCTTTCAGCTTCTCTTCCAGATAATTATGGAATGGTGCATTAGCATGATGTCACAGATTTGATGATTAAAGAATCTGTTTTCCATTGTGTCCGTCTATAGGAGCCAGATGTGAAGTGTTCTCTTATAGAACAAAGTGATCCTGGATAGAGAGCAGTTTTGTTTTTTGTTTTTTTGTTACTATGTCTAGTTTTATAGTTTATGTACCAAGCTTTCCCCAAGACGTTCATATTGTATTTTTATTTCCTCTTGTAAAATACAATTTTGTAGCAAGCACAAACATCATCATGTCCTGAGGAAAAACAAGAATCAACTAGAGACAATCTGACACACTGTAAAACACACATATCATCCATCTATAATCCTTCCTGTGTTAATCAAATGATTACCCCATACCATGAGAATTTAGGGTTGAGCGCTAATTGCTAGGTTAGGTTTCTGTTGGCTCAGGTGCTGCATACTCTGCATGCTTACCTTCGCAACTGTTACGCAGTTTGTGTGTGAAACAGAACAGCAAGTCTTTAAAACATCAACAATTAAGCTGTTTAGACTTGGTGAGCATGAGCAGTGTCGCCACAAAACATGCTGTAACACCTTTTTTATTTGTCTAGATTTACCTGCATGTCAAAGAAGTAATTGTTGCAGGATCTATTATATACAGGAAGGCTATCATTTACTGTGGAGATGAAAGTGGTTGCACTGAAGAACTTTTTATAACAACAGTTCAACAAGGAACACAGACGCTGTCATCTTTTCCTCAGTCTGTTCAGCCGGGAGTAAAGTAAATAATCATGGATCAGGAAATTAGCACAAATCCAAAGGAAGGCTCAGGGCTTCTAGAAACATGTCAGCTAGATAATCAATCAACTGCTCTGTTCAAAAGAGGATTCAGGACGTTTTAGTGCACAGTTAAAAAAAAGGGAGAAATCAACTGGCTCAATGTTACAGTAAACTACAACACGAATGCTTGTGTCTTCACACAACACATGCAAAGGGAGTCCTTCCATCAAATTCTGAGCTGCAGAGCATTATTTTGTAATGATCACTATTACTATTTTTCTATTAAACAATAACTCATAAGAAGCAGAAAATGCTTCCAAGAAAAGTTTCAAACGTCTAAATATAGACATAGTGACACAGCCGTGTAAAAATATGAGCCCTATCCTGAGCTGAGATTTCAAATCTGTCTTTAATTGTGACGTTAGAGAAACTAAACTGAATAAGGACTTCAGAGTGTAAAAGCCAAATAGCTTAAGACACTTTACAAAATACTTTAAGCTGAACTCAGTCCAGCAATGTGAGTAGAGTAATTTCCCGTAAGTATTGAAAAATAAAGATATTAGGCATTTATTGTCAAGGGTTCTCTTTATAAGGAGTAGAAATAGTTTATCTGCTAAATCATAATGTGTTACAAACATATAAAAAGCAGCTGCCAAACATTTTGTCCCTCCTCCTCTGTGAGATATAGGGGTTAACCCACAATGTGTGTTTCTGTTTCTGCTGTGGCTTGGACGCTTAGTTTTGACACTGCAAAGTTAAGGTGTCAAAGGTCAATTCAACTGTCCAACTCAAAGTCCGTCTCTTCATAGAGGTCAGGCTGAGGGGAACGTTTCCGCCGTGAGAACTTCAAGCAGAGAGAGTCTCCCACCTCATTCATTTGGTGCAGCACCTGGGGGGGACAGAAAGTCTAAGAACACTACACAGGTTTTATTTTGGACAGAATGTCCGATGGGTCCATGTCTCTGCATGTTTACCTGGTTCAGCATGTCTCTGGTGTGCGCTGCAGACACACAAAAGCGAGCTCGGGCTTCTGTAATTGGCGTGGCTGGAAAACCCACAACCACTACACCTATTCTTCTCTCCAGCATTTCTCGAGCGAAGGCCCTGTTCAGCAGCAAAAATATAAATAAAAGAGACAAGAGATCATCAGTTATTAGATACAGTAAGAGACAAATAAAAACATGAAATGATAACTGTGTAGGGAACCGAATCAGAAACATCAGACATAGAGACAATGTTCTGCTACAGAGAAATGGGTTTTGAGAATTTTGCTCTGATACATTCCTACATTCTTTTTAAAAGCATGTAGAAGCTGATTTTGTTGCAAAAATGTTTGGAGAAATAAATTTGATGATAGGTTATAAAGACTGTATTAGCGGTAGCTAGTGGGTTTTAAAAGTATAGGCTTATCTATTTGTGATGAGTGTGTCTACAGAAATAAGGCTTCTGTTAAACTTTCAGAAACAAGCCTAAAATGTTACTTTGAGCTCAAATGACTTCATGTTTAGAAAAACCTAAAAATCCTACTCCAGAAAAGAGTAATACTATTGTAGATACTAATAACTATTATAATAAATAAATAACTAAATAAATAATATTGAGTATTTGAGAGTGGAAAAACTTGGTACGACTCTTAAACCCATGATGAAAGAGCAATGTTAAATCCAAGGTCAGACATCAGGACCCCTTGATTATGGCAATTCAAGATTACCATCAGTCTTTTCATGGATATCAATTGTGACTTGCAACGAAAGACACTTTATTTCTAATTGATTATATACCCAAGTGGCTCAAACAATCCACAGTTATGTCTAATCAATACCTCATGCTGCTCCCTGAGTGGTTACAGACTGTGTTACTCTGTGCTTCTGATATTTGGAAAACCTTGAAGAAAGTGAAATGGCCGCCATCCAAATCAGTTAGAGGTGATGCATGCTGAGCTGACCAGAAATTGCTTCTGACAATAACGATTGCCGAGGTTAATATTTACCGCTTCAAAACAGGTTTGAGCACAATGAAAATCCAGATTGTTTTCCTATAACACTGCGAGCAAGACTTTTAGAGTACTTACACAACTTTACCCGGCATATAGAGCAGGACGGGAACCACAGGGGAGTCATCATTTCCGTAGATGATGAAGCCCATCTCCTTCAGCCTGGCTCTGAAGTATTTGGTATTCTCTGCCAGTTGGCGGATCCGTCTAATTCCTGCAATTAACAGAAGGACACCGCCAGATGTACACGAGTAAAGCATAAATTTGCTGCTTTCCCCTGCATATTTCCACTGTTCCTGCAGGCAGCAACAAACGTATGTAGAGGGAGTTCTGAGCAGTGACATCTTATCCTTAGTCCTGCACCTCCATCTGGGCCATTCTAACCTCCACTCTAAAGTCATTTGTGATTAAAACTCAGCTGCAGCAGCAGATGGTTCATTTTGTCAGCCTGACAGCATGGTATACACTCTAAGTTGCTGCCAGAATCGGGCTCACAAATTGACTGTGATAGATTTTGCGCGACATTACTGACTGCCGCTGAAACTTAGCCGTGACTGAAACAGAGTATAAATAATGCTTAACCATCACATGTTCTGCATTTCAAATGAACATGTTAGAAAGCACATCAAAGGCAGCAGAGGCAGCCCGCTCTGCTGACCACCTGTGATCCCCAATAATGCCAGTCACCGGGGAGCCTGCTTGCTCTGTTTGGCATGGCCCAGCCTTGGAACACAACGCTGTTTCCCTCTGATTACCTGGGAAAAGATTGGCAGCTCTTTCAAAGAAATGTAAGAGAGCACTTCAAATCCCCTTATCTTACCAAAGCAAAGAAAGAGGGAGAGAGAGACAGAAAGTGAATGAGGGAAGGGAGAGAAAAAACACAACATTCGGACATCTGCCAAAAAGCACAGGCCCCATTTTGTAAATTGTTCCTCTCTGCTCGATAGGGGTCGTGAAGGTCAAGAAACTGCTGCCAGACAAAGAAACCATATGAGTGGGTGAGAACTTGTGGATGTTGCTGCCCGTCAGAGCAATGCAAAATTTAACATCAAAGTGAAATATGAAGGAGACAGAGACGGCATGAGAGAAAGAAAGACACCAGGCTGATATTCATATAGTTGCTTGTCACTGTGAGCTTATTTAGTGTTTTGATCGACACCGAACTGATGTTGTGAGAGCCTGTTCTTTTTTCTGTCTTCCCCTTTCCCCTCTGTAAAACAGGTCAAGACTGATTTTTCCACAACAGCTATTTCACTGGGCTACGTCAGATGCAAAGCATGCCTGCTCCAGAGCTAGATGAAAGTTACTCATCTATGTGTGAACCCAGACTAAATCTCGACCAAGACACAACAGGCTTCGCTTCTTATTCTGAGTAACCCATTACAGGGCTGCATGACGTGCATGTTTATTTTTTATATGCACCAGAGCCCACATAGAAGCCTATTTTTTATCCCATTGCAGAAAAGTTAGGTCCCTAAAAATATTTGTAATTTACTAACTGTCACTTCCAATAGATATCCTCCTTCCTGGACAACTGTTCTTAAACTAAAACACCAGAGGAACTGGTGTGGTTGAACTGCGACTGGCCTGGTAATGACTGCTTCCCGGCCACTCAGTCTGATGCCATTAAAAAGTGACTTTTGAGCTGAACGGCATTCCTCGAAACACACACATGAAAACTCTCGGCCCAATAAGCCGTCCCTCCTCTTACCACTGCAGACCCTTGTAATTGATTCCATATTTTCTGACCAAGCAGCTGTTTGCATTTTCCTAAAGGTCTTACTCCTAATGTTAACAGTAATATTGTCCTCTGGATGTGGTTAGCTGTTGTCTATAAAAAGTATGGATGAATACAAAACTATGTAACCATGCAGTAAAGAACATTTCATTAGTAAATAAATAACTAGAGTATTTTCACTTTATTCTGTTATTTTACACGCAAACATATAAACAAAGTCACTATAAATATATGGATATTTTTCATAGAAAATTTTGAATTGTACCAAATTTTAGAGAGTTCATCTCTTCGCTTCTTTGTCCAATCCGAAGAAAATCCTCCCTTTGAATTTCTTGTAATCCAGATAAACACAAAAACGACAACGGCATAGCTTTCAAAGTAGGGTTAACCAAAAAAAACTATTACCCTCTGTGCTCCCATCCTTTCCCATGATGCACTTCATGGCACGTATGATTTGCTCTGTTACTGCTGGAGACATGGCCGAGGCATATATGGCACTGTGAGAATGACTCCGCAGGTAGTCCACCAGGTCCTGCAGTGTAGACAAAGTTACACATAAGCACAGACACTACAGGATGCATCTACAAAAAAAAACTTGTTTAAACCAAGAGAAAAAAATATGAAATGCAGATGTCTTTACATATAAGTGTAGTTGTATTTTAGCACCACTAGAGAGAGCTCATGTCTGCTCAACACCTGAAAAGTAATTAAAATACCTAAGGCCATTTTTCTGTCACTATGACCATCTTGGCATTGGCTGTGAAAAAGCTCTGGACGCTTTCCCATTCTCCCCTCAGAGGGAGCTGGCTCATTAATTTGAGAAAGAACCAACAACAAAATGAGCCAGAATGAGGATTGTCATGCTCATTATTCTAAAATGTCAGCAGGAGATTAATTTGCTGGTGGTTGACAAGAGAGAAGAAGCATTTTCCAGGAAGTGATTTGGTCATGGGTCCTGGGCTGTGTGTGTGTGTGTGTGTGTGTGTGTGTGTAAGTGGGCTGAGGTTTGGAGCGGGCTTGGAGCAGTGATGGGCTGCTACTCAGTGGTGGTGAGCGGGTGCGGGGTGATGACATCCAGCCGGAGATGATGTCTGGCCACCATTTCCACTCACCACCATCTGTCCCAACTGGGTGGGAGTTAAAGCTCTCTCCAACACATGAGGGGATTTTTGTGGAAATACTAAAGAAAAAAAAAAAAAAGGGATAGGGACCCCGGAACAAGCGAACATCTGTTCTTATTTAAGGCAGGAGAGTTTCACAACTTTGTGGTCCTATAGGATATCAGTGTGACCAAGATAAGCCAGTGTAAGAGAACAAGTCCAAAGTCAGTCTCAGGCCTGGGACATGGGAGTGACAGCTCCACGCTCCCAAAGCCACATATTAGTTGTGGTACTGGTGTGGCAAACATAGCCACAGACAAGAAATGGGGCAAGAACAGATACACATAAGTACGTCCTACTCAAGTACAGTTTCTATGACGCAAGTGCACTTCAGGTTTTGAAATCAGTACACATAAAGAGTCTATAGAGCCTCTTTTTTCCCCCAAGATGAACATGGATCTGTGAGAATATTTATTTATCCCTTTATTTATTTGTGGGACTCTCATAAATAGCCATAAAATGATTGTTTTGTAGAACACATCTGCTGAGTGTTTTGTTGGTAAACCCATATCCCCTTAATACAGAATTTGAGGGACTTCATCACAGCAACAAACATGTTCAACTTTCAACTTTTTTTTTCCCTTTTCCTGCCTTTTTCCCTTGAAGAGTTTTACCACATCCAGCTGTCAAACCAGAGGCCATGTTCATACTTCAAACCTTATCATGCCTTTTAAAAGTCATCCTGTATAAATGTGGAGCGCAGTTCCGATGCCTGCCACAAGAAGGGGCTGGCCTCCTGCCAGCTTTACCTTCTTATTAGGGCAGAGCAGAACTAAGCCAACATAAGGCTGAAGCAGGAAGGGCTGCGTTCTCACTACCTAATTCAAACAGCGAAGCTGGTTCTCTGCAGCTTTCTAATCAGCGGCCACAAAACCAGTGTGGTCTGTACCGAAGTGTACTTTTTAATGGACTAAAAAGTATTAAAATGACACAGATTTACAGGTTTTTGGAACATTTGCTGGGCACATGAGGGCTGCAAAAGAGGTGGTGTGTGAAGTCGTCTGTAAGGTTGACTCTGTTTGTCTTTAAATACAAGCCTAGCAAAAATACAGTTTGCATTATGTATAATTCTAGACCTGTTTGAAATGTTTTATCTTGCTATGGGAATAAATTGGTGTGTATGAATATGTGTTATTATTCTATCATTTTTTCCAGGAAAGTATGAACAAGTCAGAGTAACAGTAACTGATGGCTATTGGAAATGTTTCAATGTGGTCAATCTAACTAGTTTATTAGGAAATCTATTATGACTATTATGAGCCTCTATGGGTCTAGAAGTAGTATCATTTTTGTATGTTAACATTTGTAGGTTTTGTCCAACTAGAAAATGAGCTATACAGCATGGTTTTTCTTTCATAGGTAAGCTACAAATGAGTGAATGGAAAGGGAATGAAAACAGGGATGATGGATGATGTTACTTTTTTTCTTTTAAACTAGAGCAAGGTTATTAGCAAGGGGAACAGCACGCTACTATTTTGTTTCTGTTTTTAAAAAGGACAGAAAAAAAGATAATAGTATTTTCTGTATGAGATTTTGCTGCAGCACCATAAAGAACAGAACATGATGAGAGAGCTGGAAAATCTGTGGTGCTCATGTTGTAAAGCAGTTCTGGGTATCCTTGTTAGAGTACTTTGGAACAAACCCCCTCTTTTTTTCTGTCAAGTTATGTTTATTAGCCTATAATATGGACATTTGAATAGCTTTGTTAAATAGTACTTTTAACAAACTGTTTTTTCCTCCCTTTTTACACTACCACATATTCAGTAAAACAAGAAAGTGAAAACTTTCTTTATAAGCCATCCTCCAAATACAGATGTTTGATAAATCCACAGTAGTTTTAAAGTAAAATACAACCATATACGAAAACATGCAAATAGCAAATAGTATAGAATGCATAGCTACTGACTTGCAATGACCATATGAAAGTAGAGTAAAATAAAACAAGTAAAAGGGCAACCTTTTTCCCAGCGATATAGCCTCCAGCAGCTCCAAAGCTCTTTGTGAAGGTCCCCATCATCACATCCACATCTGCTGGGTTCACATTAAACAGTTCAGTCACACCTCTCCCTGATGGCCCCACTGCTCCAATACTGTGGGCTTCATCCAGGTACAGATACGCTTTATACTTCTTCTTCAGAGCAATGATATCAGGTAGTCGCACTACTGATCCCTCCATGCTAATAACACAGAATCGCACAAAGAATCACACAGTGTTAAACACAAAGAAACAGAGATTGCACTATTAAAAACCAAATGAGCAGTTAAAAAGAATCATTAAATCAGGCTTTGAAATAACATCATTGAATTTCTCTACATCTTAAAATCATTTGACCTGGCAAAGCTTTCTGAGATTCTGTCTGCTCTTCATTCTACTCTCACCTTTCACCCATTCATTTATCCTTTCTGATACAAACATATTAAGGCTACAAAGAGACAGCATGAATGATTATACAGATGAGACATGTAGCAATGACTGAACTTCTCTACATTCCATGGCTGAGCACATCTGTGAATAAAATGGCAGTAGACAGACTTAAACCAGGACGCTCTGGACATCAAAGGCAAGCCTGGGTTATAGCTACAGTTTGCTTATCTAAGCTGTTTGAAGTGGACTTGACCGATTGAGCATTTGTTCTTTTCTGAACTGTTCAACAGTCATTTCGCCCCAATGTCTGAGGTTGATATCGCACATTTCTGCTTGATAAAAACAGTATGATAAAGGCAATTTAAGGCTTAAGTAGTGTTGTGGATCTTGTCATTGTGATAATGCTATTCAGCATGTTTACATTTAGCCTCTGACCTGTCCAGGGTGCGCACTGCCTCTCATACAGTGACAGCTGGGATAGGCTCCAGCCTACCCGAAACCCTACTATGAATAAGCAGTATAATAAATGGATGGATGGAGGTTAACTTTTATTCGGTTGTAGCGTTTACGCCCACATTTGAAAAATCTGATTTGTGAAAGAATTAATAAACCTGACAATGTCATATTTCAGTTTACATAAATCACACATAGAATTGCAGTTGAGGGTGAAAAGAAGCTAGAGAGGAAAAAAAAGAGAATGGCCATGATAAACAGTTGGAGTTGGGGGTGTTGCCAAGTCAATCTCAGTGGCTCCATTTGGCCTTGATTTGAAGCTAATGAGCAGATGGAGAGGGTCATCAAGGCTCGGGTTAATTCACTGCCAGGAGATACACACAGTACCTTTCTACTTTACTCAGAAATTAAATGCTACCCAGTCACACACAAAAACATTTACCCCCAAACCCACTTGCTATCACATACATACACTATATTATTTAAAGGTTAAGATAGAAGAAAAAGACACCATCTCATGGACAGATAAACACAGACAGATCTCATCTAAAGCTAAAGACCACCTTAAAGCCTATAGTGACAGAAACTGATTCAAAATGTGTAGTATTGAGACAATTGTGTTGTCTTCTGTGGGTAGTGTAATGACAGCTGACCTATAGATGCCTTCCACCATGATGAGGATCTTTTTCCAGGGCCTGTGAGTCCGAGGTTGTCCTGAACAAACTGCTTCTTTGAGCATCTTCTCCAGACTATGCATGTCTGATACAAAGACGCACAAATATGCACAACAAGCAGAGGAAAATAAGGCAGACAGTGAAAAAGCAGTCAAGGACTAACAACTATATATACATTTGAAAGAAATACTGGATTAGATGAAAGACTTTTCCAACCTTCCAAACACTTTATACGTATACAATACTATTCAATAGAGTAAAGCAATGATCAGATAAGACCTTTTGGGGAACGCAAACTGTTGACAAAAGAAACTCTACTTGAGTTGACAGGAAAACATTCCATAAACTAATAACTCCAAACACCAGTGCACTCCAACACCTTGAGTGTGTCAGATAGGGTTAGAAAATAGCTGTTGAAAGCAGTTGGCATGGTTAATTATCACAACTAACATTTTGCATGATAAATGAACAGAAGCTTTTTTTGGGGGGGCTGAATAGTTGAGCCTGCTTTGGGTCCTCTGTCCTCTGTTTCACACCAGCAGATGGCAGTATTGACTGGGAATAGTTGTTTTGGATTCCGATTCCAAATGAACTATGTATATGTGTTATTACAATAAACCATCTCCCGTTAAGCCACCGGGAAACCTGTGGTCTAAATGACTGCCTCAAAGACAAGAACAGGCTTTCTTAAGAAGAAACTGATGCTACGCTGTTGATATCCCCTCAGAGAACCGAATGTGTCTCAGTTTTTTTTAACCCAATATCTGGGTGGACAGAAGGCAAAGAGGAACATAATAACCTCATACTTTAGCTGTCATTTAAGATAAGCCATAGGCTGATAAAAGATATAATTTGACTGGATGGTCAACTTTGCCTCTGTGCGAGACATTTGTGTTGTGAATATCCACAAAGTGTTATCACGTTATCCTATTTTGCTTTGCCCTCAACATGCATCAATGCCACCTGATAATAAATAGAAGATAAATAGATACAAGCATAGCATAACCAGAAAGAGAAACAGAGGTGAGTCAAAACAACTGCCATACATGTCTAATAATGCTGGACTGAACAAACCAGTTTAGTTTCAAATTCCTCCTCTTATGATGACACTCCCTTTGAACATTTTATACGCTGTGAACAACAAATCTATCAAGGACAGCAGTTGTACTAAAAAATAATGCTCCAAAAACATCATTATTTATTTAAGCTTTTAATCCTATAACCCCCTTACTAAATATCCTGTTAATAGAATAGCTCATGAGTGTCTGGCGAGGTAGGTTTAGCTGAAGGAGGGGTTGGCAGCTCAGGTGCCTGAGGGCTTCCTGCCTTTAGACATTCCTCTGGGGGCTGCTAGGAGGACCCATAACTGACTGAGCTTGTACCTGTCAGGACATATTTGCTGCTAGAGAACTGGCTTGTCTGTGCTGCTCCTGAAAAAACAGGGATACCTCTGATGCAAGCGAAATGGATGTTGTAACATTTATGCTTAGTATTTTTTGATGCAACAGAGAAATTAAGTTTGAATCAATCAATTTTTTATATTAATAATTATCTTTTTCAGCTGCTCGTGGATAAAACCCCAGCTGTGACTGTAAACTGAACCAATTTCATTAAAGCTTTTACTTTGCCGCTCTAAACAAGGAATGTTAAGTAGGTCTTTCCCTAAAGCAAATCCTGTGCAGCTCAAAAAGTAAATTGCTTCTCACAGCAGCAACAGTCTGGAATGCAGATAAACTTGAGTGTGAAAGCAGCACCGGCTACAAAGAAACACTGAAGCTTCATCCTCAGACATTATCATTCAAGTATTAGCGTGTTCTCAGGGAGACAGTGAGTGTGAGACACCACCGATGTTGGTAATCCAGTAAAGAAGGACAAAACTTTCAATGATCAAATGTTGAAGTTGCTGGACTTACTATTGTGCTTGAACACCCGGATAGTTGCACCTGACAGTCTGGCCCCCAAGATGAGAGATGTGTGATTGAGCTCATCGCTTAATATCAAACAACCCTGAAAAAAAGATTTCATCATTTAAAAATATATTTATTTAATCACGCAAGGAGCTGGAATAGGCTCCAGCTTTGCCCCGTAATCCTTCTAGGAACCCTACTGGCGAAATGGACAATGTATGAATAAATAATCAAATAAGGCTGTCAGTACCAGTGTAATAGTGAAAAAATAAAATTGTTTTTTCAAGTTAAATGAGTCCCTTCCACAAATTCCAAAATAAAATTGATTGTAATCTTTTATGTTTGATAAGATAAGAGTATGGGCATAAAGAGACAGATGGTTTGTTTTTCCTCATGAATTTCATAGAAACAAGAAATCCCTTGATGCAATGTGGTTGTGCAGAATATGCAGTATGATAAAAAATAAACCATATGGGCACACATTTCTATGCTTATTCTTCTTTCCCTGCCCCCATACATGCATTTCTTTTTCCCACAGTTGTCCATGCAAAGGATCCCCATGCATGGATAGAGCCTTGTATATGCTGTACGTGCTGTGTTTTCCCCACTGATGCCTGATGTAATTCTGACCCTCAGTCGTATTATAATTTTCATGTAAAAAGCGCTATGCTTCATATTCCATTAAAATCAGCATGCAAATTAATTCTGTTGTTCCACAAAATGATCTCCAGAGCTTTAGCATATATAACTATGAGGCTTGAAGCGTTTGCCTGAAATCATTTCATGTCTTGTAGATGCTGTGTTGACACTGTCTCAGTGACATATATGCTCAGACTGGCCTGAGGTCCAGCTGGACTGGTTGCAGGCCTACCAACAGCTGTCACTCTAATGTTTCTCTGCCTGCGTAGCAAGGCCTATCCTGGCACACCCCATCCCTGATGGATAGAGCTGGCAGTGAAGGTTGACCCCCAGCCTTTACAGAGTTAGCATAAGGGCTGCAGCCTAAGGGGCTGCTACACCTCTTGAGCTGCATAAATGACCCTACTCTCATCACTTAAACTGTCATCCTCCTCTTCCTCCTGTCCAATTTAATCACAGACAGTCATGTTTTGTGTTGCCTCTAGTTACTGCTGGCCCTCTGCATGAGCTGAGAGGCCAGTGTATGAGTAGTCACACCCTAAAGTAGTGCCAATACAAAATAAAAATAAAAAACAACATGTAGCAGCCATGTATGCCCGCAGCCATTTCCTTCAGGCCACTGTAATGTTTAATTATAATTTCAATTAACTGGGGTGTTTGGGAGTTTTGTGCAGCTGAGTTTAGTTGGCTGTTATCACTTCAAGTCATATTCAAAAGTGGAACAAAGGATAAGCTACATAGATTGATGATTGCTGCGCTAGACCCATACACAGCATTTACTTATGCAGTGTGTGGAAATTAGTCTGTAGATTCACATACCTTTCCAACAAGTGCCGGAATGTTCATTGAGTTGGTGGCAAAACCCATTCCAAAACTCATGGAGGACTCCACCCCAAGAAAACTGGCAACAAGTTCTTCCAGTTCCTCATGGATGTGCAGGTTACCTGCAGTGTGAAAGATGTGAGATTGCCAGTCTTAAAAACAGAGACTGATTGATTGGTATGAAGAAATAATGAAATGAAACAGCTCCCACTTTACAGTGATTCCCATTTGTTGCTTTCCAACAAGCTATGCAGTAAGTTAGATTGATTTCTACATTTCCTTGTCCACTCAGGCACACAGCCCCTTCTGGCATGTGGCATTTTTAATGAGACTACTGTGGAGTTTGCACTCGACAAAGAACATTTCCTGAAACCACAGCCTCGTGAACACGCCTTGCCCTCTTATTGATATATCAACCTTTAGCCTGCACTAAGGCCTGTACGCTTTTCATGTTCGAGCCATAATATTTAGTAAAACTCACCTTGTCTTGTAAGCTGAAACCAAATTACATGTGCCATCTTCATCTATATAGTTTTTTATTTTGTGCCATCACAATCATCACAGCATGTTAGTGGAATGACTGAAGCCAGTGCTACTGATGGAAAGCATTGATGTCTCTGTTAATTGTAAACATGTAACTAAGGCTTAAAAAAAAAACATTTACTGAATGAAAAGAGGAAATAAGCATAAAGGAGTAAATCATTTTCGTCACCAACTCCAGTTGGGGTAAACCAACTCATTTTCATGCGAAGTTTTATGTGAGGGTGCAAACCTCTACAACATTAGCATTTAAATTTGCATTACAGTATTTCTACAACTAACTGGTAATTTGTTATTTTTGTAAAGTCTTTAAATGTAAGATAATCTATCTGGTGGCATGTTAATGATTGCAGGAGAAACAGGAACAATGAGCTACACATTAATGTCATCCCATGAATGTTTGACACCAGTGTTTATTAACAGGGCGTGCTTTCAGTGCACTTTGTCTTCATTTTAAAATTGTCAATGAATTCTTCTGAGATTCTCCAGATAAACAACATTAAAAGTGTAACTGTGTTGGACAGTATAAATGCTTTTACAAAAACATTACATCATATAAAGCAGAATTAAAGACCTGACAAGAAGAGCCATGTGGTTTAACTTCAGACTTAAGGGTTATCAAATAACTATAATTGATTTTTGATCATCCTCTATAAACTGAGTGCCAGAGGATTAAAATAAGTCAGGAAAATATCATCTTGGGGATATTATGTGCATCACCGGTACAGACTGCTGTTGATGGTGGCACCATCCCTGTTCTTACAGAGAGGCAGAGATATTTAATTATTTATGCCTGATACAGTCTCATGAGAGAAGTTCTTGTTTTTCTTAACCCTCTTGGTGAACCCGCTGAAACACACATTAGAAACCCAGACAAAAACAGTCCAATTTTGAAAGAGACGTAAACATATGAATAAATCACAGAAATGAATAATGGATGATGTGGGGGGTTTGGTTTAGGTGGGGAATGGTGTGAGAGTTGTACTCTGACAAACAAGCATTATCATGACTATTGTATGTCCTTCAACTATTCTGGTTTACTTCTTCAAACTTCTGACATCTTGCAGTGCTACTATAGGATGAAACTCATTTTAGTCACAGCCTAAATAGCCTGCTCTCAGCAGATATTCTGGCATTGATTTAGTCATGTGTGAAGTATCACTGACAGAGAGAAAAACTGTTTCTCAAGAAAAGTTTATGAAGTGTGGCCTGCTTCATGATATTTTGATGAATTACACACAACCGATTGCCAATTAGTAGATTTTCCTTCTGCAACACTGCTGTGCCAGAATATGAGATTCTCCCAACCACTTAAACATCATCAGAAGCTGTATTCAAGTTCAAAGGATATCAAACCATTCAAAATTCATTAGATTCCACTTTCTGATCTTTGCTGTTATAACACATGCATGTATACAGTGTTTGCATCCTGCTTAATCTGAAAGGGGATGTTTAATGATGTCACGTGTTTCACAATAACACTTCTAATTCTCCTCTATGTGAACAACTATGTATCTCCACTCATACCTGTAATATACCATTTAAAAAAGCTGACGATTTAAAGATAATTTGACACACTTGCAGATAATCAAACATCAGGAAAGTAACATTTGCAAGAAATATAAGGTGTTATTTTATCTTTTGCGTCTTCAGAAAAAAACCAAAACCAAAAATATCCACCTTGTTTTTTCAACTATTTCAGTTTTATAAGGCTGAGACAAATAAACTTTATAGATCCATATATAAGACAATTAAAAACATTTTACAAGCATGGAACTCTTTAAAGCCTCCGCTTGTGGAAGCTGACACTAGATGAAAAGTAGGACCCAACCTTACTTATCTATTATACTGACAATAGACCACAAACTCACCAATTTCCTGCCTTGTGCTGCAAACACCAGCCCCATACTGCTGCACTTTATCTGCCACAGTTGTCAGAAAATCAGCATTGTTTTCAGCAAAACCCAGGTAGTTGTAGGAGCCCATGTTGATGACATTGTGTATCGTCCTCCCAGTAAACCTAGAGCACATGCAGATAACAAATTTTAGGATTTAAGTTCAGTTGTGCCTGCACTTCAATTACACCATCACACAGATGACTTACTACCGGTATGATAATTCAGTGTGATTCAATTAAATTCCATTCACTAATAAGAAATTAGAAGTACAATTAACAAAATGTTTATACATGACGAGGTACATTGAATGCATCTCCCACTTCATTATTAGATTGCCATAGGCTGTATTATATCCACATACAGATATAATAAAAATAATAATGGGAGTGTAACATCTTGCGATAAGAATAGATTTGTTCATAACATCTTGCGATAAGAATAGATTTGTTAAAAATTCACCTGAGTTCACAAGGCCTGTCAAGGGTGCACATCCCTGTTGTGGTGTTTATTCCCTGAATTTGTAAGAGAACTTCTCCATTTCAACTACTGACCTAATTCTATCGACTCATGTGAACCTGCATACCAAATTCATCACACATTCACCACAAAAAGTCAAGCAAACCACCCCATATCTACCTTTTCCAGGTCACATTAAACCTCTTTAAACATGGAATCCACGCTTACCTCTTTATAGATTCATAAAATCTTTCCCCTTCCCTGTGGCTCCACTAATATTCTTTTTTATAATATATTCTTTAAACCTGTAGTTCAGCACAGTGAATATCAATTATGGTCCAGAAACTCTAAAAACTCCTGCAGATTATACATTTGCCCATGACAAAAACCCGTGTGGCTAACTTTGCCATGATCTCACAGACGTGTGCAGCATGCAGCTAACACAAAAAATCTAGGTTGTCTACATTTGAGCTGACGGAGAGAAAATGTGAGATGAACGAGTTAAGATAAACAGTTTTGCTCCTGTTCAGAGCTAAATATGCATTTGTGCATGATTAAGTTGAGTTGTATACACAGACGAGCTAAAGCACAGGAACCAACATGCTGTTGGTTGCAATCTGACAAAAAAAAGACACGAGCCAGAGAAGCCATGTTCTATGGTACATCTGGGGGTACCTTGTGGTATCTTGTGCCAGGGCCAGGGTTTTTACAAGGCTTTCACATTCATTCAGATTTGTGCAGTTAGTTTAAACTGCATCTGAATCTTTGCCCAAAAACATAGAGGTGGCTTATTATGAAATACAAACTTATTTTTCCATTTACCACCACTAAGATGTGATAGCAATTGTCATTTACCAAAGTGCCTCATCATTGTGCTGGATTCTGAGGCTAAAACATGTTCCAGGACATGTTCTATCATAGATAGGTTACAGTACCTGAATGTCCAGTTGTAGTCATCAGACACCCTCTCCATTAGGTCGAAGACAGGACCCGGGAGGCTGCATATGGGACGGTTCCAATTGTCCCGAACTCTCATGTACAAATTCCGAGTGTAAAAGTTTTCAAAATCTTGATAAAGTGGAACAAAATTCTGAGAAAAAAGAGAAGATTTTCTTAGTGTTTCAAGTCAGGGCCAGGATAAAATAAATAAAACTACATTTTTATTTGGGACATTTACAAGACAAATGAGACTAGTCAAAGTCTCCTGAGTCAGTCTCACTTTGCCCTCCTTTATCTATGTTTATTTGATCAATTGAACAATGGATTAAATAACTTTCCTTTCTTTCTTTTCATTTATAGTAAAATATAATCACTTATAGAGGCTGCTGTCGTGTATCTGCCTGCAGACTTTTTTTCAAGGTAATAATGTTTTCCAATTTGGCAAAAAAAAAAAAGACCAAAAATGATAATTTGACTGCTACAAACATATTCTAATAGCAGATTTAATTTAGAAACCCAAATCTATTGTGACACAAAAGTTATAAAATAGCACCAATGAGACTTCACTGAAAATCAGAAGCAAAGCAACAAAGGAAAAACTTGAATCTCTTGAGATTTAATTAGCTCTGCAACACATGTTTTCTCTGGTGCCCTGCTTCATCCATGGCAACATTTATAGTACATAATAACACATGGGAGAAAAGGAGAAGAGAGCCCCAGGAACAAGTGGAAAATATGTGGGTGAAAGTAAAACATATTTAGGCTGTCTCCATATTGTGTCTGTGTGTGTGTGTCCATGACACTTGTAGGTCCACAATGCGCTTTGTTTTGACTGCATGTTTTGCCTACCTTCTGCTCCTCTCTTTCCTGGGCGACGTGGCACTTCTCCAAGCCCACAGCTCTGAGGAAATCTCTGAAGTAACCAAAAAGGGTTACAATACCAAAGCCCAGATATGTCATAACGGCCACATACATGGGGGCCTGTTCAAAGGACTCCTGACTCTTCTGCCTGGAAGCAGCACCGTTTCCTGGGCCCTTCTTCTGCAAAAAATCCCAAACAAGCTGTATAACGTCACAAATGACAACACATGAGAACACACACGTTTTATAACAAAGAAACACTTTTTACATCAAGGTTTGCTGTTTATGTTCCCATTAAGCTGTAAAAAAAAAAAGGAAGTCAGGCTTTATCAAAGAAATCAGTAACACCTAAAAATCCAAGGACAATCCACAGTTATGTCAAGCAGTTTTCCTGGTTAAAAGATAAGGAACTGAAAATGATAATATTGTAGCACCTGCTGTGGAAGAAACTTCTGTACATGATGAAACAAAAGATGTCCCCCAAAACAATCACAATATCTCCTTATGCTAGTCTGCAAAGATTTTAGCACACTCAGATAAAGATGTGATTTTCTGTATAAATTCAAATGAGAGCTGACACAAGAGAATAAAATCTGTAAACTCAGATTGAAAAAGTCAAAGATAAATCAAATAGAAGGCTTTTTTTAGATTTTCAACTTCAAAGGATGGAAGGATTGAATAGTAATGGCTATTCAATCTTTCCACTCACTTGCACATCCATTTCCTGCATCATTTTCACTGCAAACAACATACGCATCATAGTATCATTGCAGCATGAAACCTTTATGGGGTTTGAAGATCTTTTGGGAGGGATCAAAACAACCGAGCTAAACTCTAGGAAAGAGAGAGAAGATACTGATTTGGGAATTCATACTTGTGGTTGACATACAAACATAATGACTAAATGTCTGTGAATTATCTAGTAAACTGTTTGCTGTGTTCACTTTTTCATTGGCAATCTAGCATAGTAAAGTATAGTACAATAAATCATACTGTAGCATACTTTGGCTCAGTATAAACATTAACTAAGGTGGTACCAAAAACGCTTGCATGCTAGTGCCTAAAATGGAATAACTAAGTAAAGAAAGTCAGTGATACAGCGCTCTTATATCGAGATGCTGCAATATCAGTTTTCTTTTTGTTGTCAAGAAATCTGCACAGGGAATGCCTTTAAAAATAATGCACATGTATGGCCCTTGTATATTAGAATCCATTCTAAAATTTGCCATTTGTCTGTACAGTTTATGGTTGATTGTAATCGTCCAAGTGGTTGCAATGGTCAGCTTTTCAGCATCAGGCCTTAAAGTGATGCTTTGATCCTGCCCACATGTTCAAGTAAACTATCAAGAAAACACTTACGTGACTTGATTAGATCACACAGCGTCTCAGTATCTGTGCACCTCTTATTATGAAAAGCATACTAGTATGTATACTAGTAGTATACTTTGGGAACTTTTTCCGTCAAGGAAAAGTCTGATGTAAATGTTTATGTAAAGGTATTTAGAACAGCCTTACATATGGCCTGTTTTCAAAACATAAAATTACCACTAAATGAAACTAAAAATATGTGTGGACTAGAAATAAACTTGTCAGGACAGATCAAGTATCAATCATGTAAGATAAAATGTAAGATTAAAAAATAAGATGGAAAAAAAGCACACCTGCACCCTCCTGGCACTTCCTCTTGCCTTCAGGGAAAGAAAAACCTGATTTGAGGAACAGGAAGTATTTCAGGGTGGGGTCATTGTGGCGTTGTGTTCATTTTAGTTGCAAAGTATCTAAAATGCGTGCTTGTGTATCTATAACACAAATTAAAGTCTAGAGATTCATCTAGACTAATGATCATCTGCATGTAAGCACCTTTCCCATCCCAGGTGAAGCGCCTTTTTCTGCCATTTCTGAATGGACAGGGGAGGTAAACTGGTTGCCGGTAAGGAACACACACAGTTTCCTTAGTTTGCTGGAGAGATTTGGTCACGAACACCACATCAGGTGAGAATCCAAACAACATGTCAGTCTCAGCCCTAAGCACCTGGCGGCAGCTCTGACGCAGGCGCACCTTCTCCTCACGCACTGCACTTCACATTATTCCTGTAGATCAACCCGCCAACTCTTTACAAACATACCTCCGTCCCGTTGCGACGAAAACTTCCCCCAGTCTCTCGACATCTCACTCCGTTCTTTTTCAGTTGTGGCTTTAAGTCAGCGTCAGCAGTTCTTGCCATTTTCCTGGAGGCGCAGAGCTTGTGGTCCCGGCGACAGGCGGCTCTCATGAGAAACCGGTGCGCGTAACTGAACCAACAAAGGTGACTTCCTCCTTCTGTTGTTTTGGTTCAGCCTCTTTTGAGTTGTTGTGTGAACAGCGCTCGCATTGGAGGCTTCTTGAGAAATGTCACGCAGTTTTGGACTCTGTTTTCTGTTTCGATATAGTATAAATGAATCGACTTTTTTTTAACGTATGGCACAACTTTGGAGCAGTGCCAGAAGCTTACAATGCCGTTTCTCTTTAGAGATGTCTGATCTATTGTGACCCCCAAGACAGAAATAGAACCGAAACTTGTCTGTGGAATTGCTTTCCACGGAAAATAAATGTTCTTGTGCATACTCTGCAACGTTCAGATGGACTAATCTCGCCTGTGCATTAGTAGACAGTTTGGTAACCTGGTTCAAGATCAGGAGATTACAAAATATGGCTTTGGAAATAAGAGTCAGCGTTGTGCAATACAAACCGATTATTCTGTCACAAATAAATGGCTGGATAAGCACTTGTGAATGTTGAATATGGAATATTGAAAGTGTGTTTCAACAGCATAATTTCGACATTTCGACAGCATAAGTGGCTGTCGTTATTTGTTTGCCTAAACAGGTCAGACAAGAGCATTGGATTATTATAGATGGATTTCTTTTTCAAGATACTGCTAATTTTGTATCACAGCATAATTATCATGGACACCAGAGGCACATAACAGACATGCAGTGTGTTGACTTTGCCCTGACTTTTACCAAAATGAATGTAAGATTACAAACATATAGTCTAACATTAAATTGTATGATAATATATGGTGAAATAATATGATCTGTCGTTCCTTTGTACAGATTCACAGTCCATGGCACAATTACAGCCACATCTGCATTATATGTAATGCAAATGTTTGATAGTCCACCTCATTCAAATGACCCCTTAAGATATGCAGATGGAATTTGTGGTACTCTGGTAGGGGATCATTTATGTATGTCACACTGATGCCGTCATGATTTCAATAAGTTAGGTGAAGACGCTTCTGTCTTCAGGCTGTTGACAGCTTTTGTCCACTAGCATTTTTGAGATTTTCCTTTTTTGGCAAACAGAGAGAGACTGTTTGTTTGGAAAAGGTCAGCACCCACTTAGAGGTCTTGTGGGTGCACTTAGTTTGTGAACTGAAATATGCGTCACACTGGAGTGTGTGATAGGAAGAGTAAAGTGTTTTTTTGTGGTTGAACTGATCCATTTCTGTTGGCTAGCATGTCTTTGTGGGTTTTCACAAACAGGTTATGAGAGGAAGACAGACCAAAGCATGGTGTTAAATGAAACCATGAGCTTGGAATGAAAGTGCAAGTCTGAACACTATTCTATGAGTTGAAATATTTCCAATGCCTTCATGTTGTCTGATGTTGTTTTTGTTTGATAATGCCCATTTGCATTCCTGTCATGCCTAAATGATAATTGAACAAGGTGCCTTTCCAGTCAAATTGACCACTCTTACACTACACTTTGAAGTTACACTCTCACACCAGTATGTACTGAAGTTTGTCTGAGATATCCTTTGTAGCCCTTTACGACTGGCTCTGTAGCATTTGCTCACAGTATTGAAATCTTCATTTAGATTGCAGACATGGCTTCACATGATGCATCTCTCAAATACAGTGTGTGCTAAAACCTTTAAGGCCTTGTGGGAAGACATGTGTCATCTTCTATAATTTCTAAGATGCCCTTCCTTGCAATTAGTTCATGATGGTTTGAGTTGTCTGATAACTTATGTCAGAGAAGGGAGATGAAAACTGACATTTGCATACGGCAAAACTAAGAATGCTGAAAGAGGAGTGCAGGGTAGTGCCGTTTAAAGCAGCAAGTTGAGGACATGTAATGACTGTGGATAATCTTGGTCCAGAGCAGCACATAGCACTCTTAGTAAATGAAAGCATCTGCAGATCGTACTTTCTGTTAACTTAGCTTTAATTCTAGCATAGAGCCCTCCCAGTAGCTGGTTCCCGCTTCCCTTCACTACACAATTGCTACCCATAGGACCAGATGTAACCTACATCTGTCAGGCTTCATTAGATGCATCAATCTGGAAAGCACAGTTTTTTTGGGGTACACAAATGTTTTTACCAGATTGTTTTTACTTTTCACTCCACGCTTTACAATTTGAACACTGAACCTGAAGTCAGATTTTATTTTGTAGCTCAACATGCCATCATTTTATATGTGGAAGATAAAAGGAAGTGAGCTAATTTCCTCACGAATATTTTACATTTTACACCTCATTGAGCATCTTTTAATGCCTAGTAGTTGGCCTGAAGAGTGAACCTCATTGCATGGTTCGAAATGTATCCTGTTTAATATTGATTGATGTTCTAATTTCCGTACAGGATCCTTGTGTTTTTCACCGTGGCCTTTTTTCCCTATGTTTGATATTATTATACACTCTGTAAGACGTGATGAATTATTTTGAAACCTCAATGAAAGTAATTTCCATGAATACAGATGGATGGTGAAACTGTCCACATGGGGAATAAGATCCCCACAGTACCCAGAGGGACATTCCATCTACACTGCTTTCATGTGGATGTCATGTTAAATGGGTTTTCCTGAAATACATAATGAATACTAATCCATATTTGATCTGCTTGCATGTTTTTAATAGACTTACATTCACAGTGTTGCTAGTCGAACTAATTATTTATATGCCTCATAGATTTCTTTCTTGTTGGATGTTGATTAAAGAAGAAGCATATTATGTTTGTTTATAAAACACTTTGTAGAGTCCAGAATTCTCACACCCATAAAGGATTTGCGTCAAGTGTCTTTGAACAGAAAGTGGGATGTCCTGCCATCTGGTGGCAATACTGGGAACAACAGTCTGCTTTCTACTGTTTTGTTCCTGTAATGAAAATGTAAATAAGCAAATGCAGCATGGTGGCATCAGTAAATAGACAGGTCTTCTCTGACATGTGGTATCTGTTTAGTGTAATGCTTAGGAGGAAACATCCAGGATTTAGGCAGTTGTTTATGGATGAACTCCTGTCATGGATACCGCTTTTAAAGCAGAGCTATATTTAAACGTCCCCTGGGGTGCCATTAAATCATGTAATTTCTTCGTTAGGCCTGGCTGGCCTCATTTTAATATTAACATAGACAGCATTAAGGGGGAAATGTGTAATAATGAATTTGTATCCACTACGACATCTTACATTTTGAATTTAAGCACTCCGGCGGACTTTCTTATCATGTAAACTCACAGAAATAATAATCTCAGATTTAGATGCTGAAATAGCAGAAGCATGGTTTGTGGTAAGGCTTCATGGTGGTGTGGTGGTTAGCACCATCTCCCCACAGGATGAGCATTCCCACTCCCAATTCCCATGGTGGCTTTTCTGTGTTGACTTTGCACTTTCTCCCCATGTGTGCATGGGTTCTCTTCGGATACTCTGGCTTTCTTTGTTCAAGAAACATGCACATGTGTTAACTGGCCACTCTAAATTGACATTATGAAGCAGTGTTAATGTGTCTGATTGCCTGTCTTGTGTGTTTCTGTGTGTTCCTTTGGTGGACTGATGACCTGTCCAGTGTGAACCTCGTCTCTCGCCCATTAACAGCTGTGGTAGGCTCCAGTCTTCCCATGACCCTCCTTGTGTGAATAGCAAAGGATGGATGATTTGATTCAGCTGGTAAAAGGTTGTCAGCTTGCTCACCTTGCATATATGACACAAAACTTCAGACATTTTAAACATTTCAGTGGCTCACCTATTTACTTGCTTAACCACTTCCCTCACTGGGGAACAGACATCCTGCCAGAAGAGCTGTTTGAATTAAATGAAGTTGTTTAATATCGCCTCTGTACAATGGCAAGAAAATCAGTTTTTTTATTAAGAACATGAAACTTCAATGTTACTGACCAGTTGTCCCAAGTATGCAGTCACACACAACTTTAACAGTCACATGGGGGAAAAATAACATTTTTTCTAAACCTTTCCTTCCATGAAATTGCTAATATATGTTAGAATGTTGTTTTTCCTCATCTCCTCATCCTCAGAGGAATGCACAATTGCCTTAACAATAGTCTTTAAGTCCCTGGCCTTTTTGTATGGAGTTTGCATGTTCTCCTCGTGTCTGCTTTGATCCCTCTGGGTATTCTGGTCCCATAGTCCAAAAAACATGCATGTTAATTGGACACTAAATTGCCCATAGGAGTAAATGTTAATGTGTTTGTTCTTCTATTTCTGGCACTGTGGTGAACTGGCGACATGGCCAGGGTGCATGCCGCCACTCTCCCAATGTCAGCTGGGAAATGCTCCAGCCCTGCTGCGACCCTACTAGGAATAAGCCTGATGGACAATGGATGGATGGCTCCTTGGAGGAAAAGGTTGGGGTGGGGAGTAGAGGAAAACGACTGTATTAGATTTTTATGGACCAAAATAAAGAAGGAGAAATAGCTATAGCTTAAGGATTTTTTTTAAATAGATGACTTAGTTTTTATGTGACAGTAAGTATGAACTATTGTTTGTTTCAAGCTTTACAGATGTCTTCAATCAGTCCTGTGTGTCAGTTAATATTTCAATCTTTCAGCTGCTGCACATGCAGCACTGCTAACCCTAGAAGGGGGTGTTCAGATCCACAGGGTATGGAAGATTCTTGTTGCAAGTAGAACTGGAGAAAAAGATAGTAGAGCCAGATATTTCTAGAAAGAGTAAAATAAATTGGGCTTGAAAAGTTAAAGGGGATTGGCAGACATTTGAGTGGCACAGGGTGAGGATGGTTTAGAAACTAGTGGTGCTGCAAAGAAGACTTGAGGCTATGTAGACCATGCATTCCATTTCTGTATCTCTGCCGGCCAGGCTAGTGCTTTATTGTTGGCATTGACCCTAATTGAGTCCTGCAGATATTTTGTGTGATTCATTGAAAAGCCAGAGGAAGTGCCCTTATAGGATATGTCCTGAGTTTTTATGACCTTTGTTTCCATTCTGTATAATGTACTCCTTTCCATATTTAAAGTAGATTGTTGAAGGCAATTCTACTGATAGAATTTGATATTATCTGATGCTACAGTATTCATATAGATGACCACGGCATAGTCACTTCAAGTAAATGTTTAATAATTAAACATGTATACAAGG